TCTCTTTTGTGTTTATTGACTGATGATTAGTTGCACAGGTATTTGGCAGCCCAGTGACACAATGCACACCAAACCAGAACAGTTTCTTGGTTGTAGAGAGATGCAGCTGATAGGGTCTTTTTATTGTGAATGAAATGAGCTTTGAATTTCATGGATGCTTTATTTTTTTTCTGGTATTGAGATGACAAGATAGGAGTTTGTTTTACCTGTTTCTTTTTGGTTTGTTTTTCATGTGTGTGGCAACGGACCCAGGAAAAGTTCTGAAACGTAATATATGTATTTTGCTTGTGTTTCTGAAAACATAAAATGTTCCTCTGCTGTGGATGCAAATTTCCATATAGAGCTGCCACATATCTCCACGCAGTGCCTCCCTCACCAGATTGTTGCTTAGGCTTGATGCCAGATAATTTTTTTGCCAGTAAGAAGAGTGCTCAACCTGAAACTATATTTTGGGTAATATGAAAGCTAGTTGGATTCTTTGCAGACAAGGGTTATGGCTAAAAACAGTCATCAGAATGTAACAATTTGTATTATTACCACTTTTATTTATGCTAGATTTGAACCAATCTCAAAATAAAGAGGTAATTTCAAGCTAATTCCTGCTAACCCTTGTTGTTGTCTGTAAAGTTAAGGTCATATCAAGCCTAAAAATCTTTTGTATTTGTTTCAGAACAATGTAAAATAATAAGGATGCTATTCTCTTTAATTTAGAATGTGAGATGTACTGTTTCAAAACATCGTTGAAAATATACTTTGTGTGCTGTTATTCAAGCTAACAAAAACTTTCATTTTAGGCTGCCCTGATGATCTCTCTCATTTGGAAATATTATGCTGAACCAGTTACAGTTCTTCCAAGCAAATGGCTTGCGCCATTGGAGCGCTTGGTAGCCTTTCCTACAGGTGTGGCAGGTAAGAGCTGTGTGTGTGGTAGAAAAAATGCATTTTCCAAGTCTGTGCGGTTGCTAAGAATGTGATGATAGAGTACGTGTGGATTAAGAGCACTGCTTCTGTGTATTCCTTAATAGCAAAATGGGGAGTTTCAGACATTTTCATATGTGATTAGCTTGTGTTTAATGAACTCACAGTGGACAGAGATATTCATCTTTATTAAATCTTCTCAAACAGAGCAGTTTTATCTTAATATGGAATACGCCCTTGGGAAGGTTTCAAATAAGAAATATTTTCATAGAATCATAGAATCACCAAGGCTGGAAAAGACCTAAAAGATCATCCAGTCCAACCGTTCACCTATTACCAATAGCTCCCACTGAACTATGTCCCTCAAAACCACATCCAGTCTTTCCTTGAACACCCCGAGGGTCAGTGACTTCACCACCTCCCTGGGCAGTCCATTCCAATGCCTGACCACCCTTTCTGTAAAGTAATACTTCCTAATGTCCAGCTTGAATCTCCCCTGTTATAGCTTGAAACCATTCCCTTTGGTCCTATCACTAATGACACAAGAGAAGAGGCCAACCCCCAGCTCACTACAACCTCCCTTCAGGAAGTTATAGAGAGCAATGAGGTCTCCCCTGAGCAGCCTCCTCTTCTCCAGGCTGAACATTCCCAGCTCTTTCCGCCTATCCTCATGGCCTGTGTTCCAGACCCCTCACCAGCTTTGTTGCCCTCCTCTGAATGCGTTCCAGGGCCTCAGTGTCTTTTTTAATTAGTTTGAAATAGTAAAATTGGGTTCAAAAATGTGCAAATACTTATGGATCTGTATTACCTATGCATGCTTCTTGCACTACTATGAAACTTCACTACTTTATAACTCTGGGATGATTGAGGGACGTTTTCTTCCAGTTGGCGTTCTGTTCCCACCTTTTTTTCCTCATTGCACTTCTTTATCTACTCAAACCCTTTTCTTCTGGTTAATGAATTAATGATAAGAAGGTTATGACATTATGCATACCAGTTTCTGAGTGAAATGTGTGCTGCCTGTATTCTAATTGCATAAATAAGCAGGATGATAAAACAGTGCAGTGTGGAAATGTACCATGAAGATAAAATGCTGCTGGTGAACCTTCATACAAGGCTTTTTAAGTCTCAGCTGCCTTAGAGTAAATTCCAAATTACAATGTTGTCTTACCATCTTTAATAGCTGTTGAGAGAACGCTTTGTATCCAGCATGCTTACTGGACAAGTAGACCCTTCTATGTAGGATCAGGGATCAGTCCTTGAAAGATAGTTATTTAAATAGTACTTTAAGGAATTTTATAAGGTTCATATCCTTATATGCCTTCAGGTTCTCTTTTTCTTTGGCCTTGGTTGATAACCAAAGTAAGGAGATTACTTCTGAATTCTAGGCAATAAAGTTAAGAACACAGAAATACTTAAAAATCACCAAAAGGCAGTGTCTTCCAGTACACATAATAAATAGCTGTGTGTATTCAGTGATATTATGTAGTATGTTTCTATGCAGTCTGTGATACAGATATGCTATGTACTACAGTTAGGGTACACTCTCTGTGCCATCATTCCAGTAGAAATTTCTACGCTGTTAGTTTGAATGATGAGACTCTTTAAAACACAAGTAAAGTAAGTCTGGGTCAGTAGTGAAAGTCTCACTTGGATTTTTTTATTCAGTTCTATGAGGATTAGGAGAAAGGACAGAAGTATGGATTTAATACTCTTTAAGAAGGCTGATTTAAATTTATTGGGAAACTTACTACTTTCCTCTCCCTGGTCTCTGATTTTAGATTCTAAAGTACTCTTTTATTTACCACGCCTTTAATTTCAGTAACCTAGACCTCTTGGATAGGGACATAGTGAATATTTTTAGAAATCATGGGTCATATTTTTGGTTAATATTTTTGTTATTTGCTGCTCTTTCCCCAAACAGCCTTTAGGTTTTCTCAAAACTAGCATGCAGTTAACTGGCATCCCTTGAATAGAATCATTTGCATCTAGACAGAAAGATATTTTGTTCCCATCAACCTCCTAACTCTGTTTCATTTTTTATGCTTCCAAGTTGTTTAATCTGCTGTGCTCTAAGGATGCAATAACTTCAGTCAAATTTTACATCTCTTTCAGGTGGTGTTGGAATTACATGTTGGCTTGTGGTTTGTAATAAAGTTGTAGCTATCATGCTACACCCTTTCAGCTGAAGAAATCCCTGTAGTATATGGAGTCTAAACTACATTACCACAGTACAAAAAACATTTGTCTGTCATGATGGACCAGGTTGGAGACGCTTTTTGTTACTTTAGTTGGATGTTGGGCAGTATTGGTTTTACTTTCTTTCATTTATTTGGTTTTTTTGGTTTTATGATGAGCAGTTTTCAAAGAGCAGCATTGGTATTTATAAAACCTCATTTTGACACGTATAAACATTGATTGGTGGTAGAACCTTAAGACTTTGTCATGACATATTCATAAAGGTCTTAGCGTTCTCTTTTTCCATCTGTTAAGTTGGAAATGCACTGGCATTAGTATTTTTTGGAGCTTTGCTCTTTTGTTCTTTCTTTACTGTATAGTATGGCATTTTCACCCAAAGATGTGATTCCACTTGGTGACAAGTGGTATTAAATCAAAATAGGTAGTTTGGTTGTTTTGGAGTAAAACAGAAATAATTTCCTTTTTTTTTAATCTGTAGATTGGGTTATTCTCAGACTATCTTAGAAAGTATAGTGATACATATGCAGAATCAACTTAAGTCTTAAAAGAATTTCTCAACTGTCAAATGCAGGTCAGCTGGCCACTTCAACACATCTTTTAAATTCCTCATGAAATAAAAATTTTTAAAATTCCTTGTGGAATTATTGAACATCAGAATTTTTTTTTAGATTTCTCTCCCCACTACTTTTACTGATAACTGACCTTCCTTTCCTTGCTATATTTTCTACTTCCCAAACGGAGCAAATATTGCTAACAGTATTTCTTTCCATGCTTTGGGAAAAAAGGTCCAACCAACTTTTCCAAGCTCCATGTTAGGAAAGTAGAAGACAGCTGTTTCTGCAGAGAACTATATCCCTAGAGCTTTAGCATACATTAATGATAGTAATTCTTCCTAGTACCACAGCTATACAACAGAAAAGCTGCATTAACTTCTGTGCTATCTGCAACCCTATTGTTGCTGTCTCAGCAGACAAGGCAGTGGCTTTAAAAAGTTCTATAATACCTCCTTGGACATAAGGTTGAACAAAGCTTTTGCAGATTTTTGGATTAGCTCATGGTCCATACAGTGTTGTGTTGTTTCAGGTCCTTTGCCTTGCTGCAGGAGAGGGCTGGAGTACATCCATATCATTAGCACTGCCTATAGAATTAATTCAAAAAATGACACACTTTCTGCATGTCTGAGTGTATGTATTCATTAAATGTTTTTTTCTTAAATGTTATTTAAAAACTAATTTGTTTTTATATTAGGGATTGCATTCAGCCAACAGTAAAGGCATTAAATATTGACAAGAAAAAAAGTCAAGATTGAATCTGTTACATGTAATTGTGGTTTTATTTGTGAAATAAAGTTTTTTCAGTCCACCTCAGGTTTTCTAATGCACATTTTTAGTATTAATTACAGTTTTCCTAAACAAAACAAAACCCACCTGTGTTCTTGATAGTGTTGGAGTCTACAGACTTTTTAACTACGCAGTTGATGTATTTCTGACTATAAAGATATAAGTAACAATGCTTCCACTTAGCTTGTTACAGAGTTGAACGCAGTGAAGTCAAGAAAAGCAGTATCACTTAGCATACGACAATGACATTTGCTATTTATGTGTGAGGTAATGAAATACAGTTTGTTGGCAGCTCTGTTGGACATCTAAATGAATAGAGGCAGAGAGGCTTTTGGTGATTTAGTACAATCAGGAATGCTGGATTATGTCTGCTTGTTTGCTCTTAACTTTGGAGACAGCAGGAGGGATTGTAGAAATATTAATAGTACATAAAGGAAAAGTACTCTTTTGACTGCATTAAATCATTCTTGAAAAATCTGTCCATGCACAGCTCAAGTACTACTTAAAGAACTTAACTTGAAGATAAGTATACTTACAAGTAGGTTCAGATCAAAATATCTTAATCACCTTTAGAAGTTTTCATAATACAGATGGTTTCTTTTTTCTTGGTACTGCTTTTTAAAATTTAGTAGAATATCTTTTTCCTAGCTTACATTTTAGCAGCCTTTCATGAATTTCTACCAGAAACAAGACATAATCTTCCTACCCTTGCTTACATAACCTTAAATGCAAAATTTTTAAAGGCTTTTTGAGAACTAGATATGCCTGACTTCTCCAGAACAATGCTTTAGTCTTGCACATTCAATTCTGGATGTCAGCTGTGGAAGTTACCAGGCAAACTGCTTTGGTAAGTTCTAACAGTGGAAAAGAATGAAGCTTTAGAGCTTTATAATGCTAATGAAAACAATGTAATAGCAAATTATTGTGTGAATTCTGGAAGCTATGTCAGGAGTGAAAAGAAAATTATTTTCTTTTAGTACATTTTAGGTAGCAATTCAATAAAGAACCTTCTGAAAGCAGACTGCTCACTACAGCTAGTTAACAAATAACTTAAGATTCAAACTGCAGAGAGAATGCAAAGATTAACCAAAAAGGACTAACTTGGACACTCCCTAAAACAGGTAAAATGACAAAATTGTTGAGGCACCCTAAGATGCATACATGTGCATCAATAATAGAAGAATGTTCTGCTGTGACAGCTGATTTGCCTCTCATTTTGAAAGTCATTGACAGAAATTCTCAAAACTTCTAAGAATTAATATACATTTTACGAAGCTAAAAACAGTGCGTAATTGAAATGGAAAGGTAAGTTGATATACTTAATAAATACCAATTTTGTGTATTCTTATAAGGTTATTCATAATGACTCAGATGATAGACGCTATTTTATAAATCAGTGGAGGGTTAACATTTCACTTGTGTAATCATGCATCCCCTCACAGCTTTCTCTCCATTCCTCTCATGTTAGAACACGAATGGCTGTCTTTGCAAACACTGCCTCGTCCAAAGAGTTCTTTCATAAGACTCTTCTTCCTTTCACTGAATATTGTATGAGCACAGCCTTCTGCTTCAGTCAAACCGTCTTTCTGCCTCATGTTGGTAACTTTACTGAAGGATGGTTCATATAGCCCAGACAGTTTCTTTACTTTTGATTCTTCTTTGCAGTGGTCCTGACCTGCATGTCTGTTGTTGCGAAGACTGCATTTTGTGGATTTTGTACCTGATGTAGGAAGCCCGTGATACAAATTTTCAGTGGTTTCTGAGAATACGTATTGTTTTTTCAGCTTAGAGAGTGTTTTGTTTCTTGGAGTTAAAAAATTATGCCCTGCCTTCCCACTTCTTAGTAGTTCTTCTGACTTTTTTTCTTTCTCTTCCACTGCATCTTCCTCTTGACTGTTCTCTTTTACACTGTCATTTAGCAGAGTTTCTTCAGCTTTCTTTGACTTCTGTTTAAGCAAGTCTCTCTTTCTTTCTTCTTGTTTTATAAATTCCAGACAAGTGTGTGTTGTCTGTGGTTTGTTTTCCTTTAAATATTCTAAAATGAATATTAGGGGTTTTAGGAATGTTCTTAAATTATATAGGATCACAAACAGTCATGAAGCATTAATGAGAGCAAATTTTACTGCATTATTTCTGAAGTTGTTACTGATGGTTCTTTAGTCTTGATGGTTAGGACAGTGCTATTTACTAATAATAGGATGGGGTAAGGTTTTGTTAAGATCATTAAGTCATTGACATACTTGCTTAAATTAATTAGCATACAAGTATAATCTGTATTAAGTATTTCATGGGCTAAATATAGTGCTAGAGAAGTTGCATATAAAATATCAGGGAAATCACATGAGATCTGAACTCCTAATTGTCATTGTATTGCTATAACATTGAGCTTAAATACAGGAATGTTTTTTTTTCCTTTAACTGACAACATGCTTGTCTCATGGAGCAGAATATACTGCAGTTTTTCAACATAGGACTGAAATGATTCACAGGTGGCCTCTGGAAGGGTATCAAGCTGAAAAGATGGAGTACAAACTGCAGGAGTTAAAACCTTTCATATCACTGGCTCTGTTACTGATCCAGTAAGTGACCTCAGCAACCTGTCACACCTTTGTAAATGTGTGAAATTCAGCTCACATAATGTCGCCTACCATTTGTGAAGTATCTAGCATGACAGCATTCAGATCTCAGATTTATCTACATTTATCTACAATTTAAAGAAAATGAGTTTTTTTTAGAAAATATTCAGCTAAAAGAATAGATGCATTTGCTTGCTCTTTCACCTGTTATACGGGTGAACCCATATAGAACCTCTTCAAAATTAAGTTTTTTGTAGATGAGTTCCTTGCATATGGCCTTTATGTGAGATCACAGTCAATGGTTAAGATTTGCATAAAATCTATTTACAGTGATCACTGTAATGAGGAGATACTCTCAGCCCTTGAAGAACTCCTTTTCCTTTCTTAGCAATAGATCCCAAGCCAGAAAAATCTACTGACATCTACTATGATGCAGATTCACAACATGCAGTTTGGGATCAGTATTTGATCAATGTGGATTTAACAGAACGACCATTAAGTAAAGTATACTTTTATAGATTAAGCTCAGAATTTTTACCAACACAAACATGAGCTGCTTTTAGAATTCCAGCAGTAGGAAGATGCCTTAAGCTGTGGAGCTGATCTGCTGTCAGTGTAGTACCTCCAGCAACTGGCTTTCAGTGACTCGTAGTTACTGTCACTCATATGCCAGCTCATGTAAATTACCATTATCATCAGTTCATTCAACTTCTGAAAAGATCACATGCATTTTTTAGATACTAAAACATACCTCCATGAGTCTGACAAAAATTTTCTGGCTTTGGTATTTTCTTGGATGATTGCTTTTCTGTTTCACATTGGGTATCAGTGTATGCTTTGCTTGCTGTAGCTTCTTGTTTCTTATCTTCTGAGGCCTTTTTCTCCTATAATTGACAATTAAAGTTAAAAAGTACAGGGAAATACTTGTTCAGATACTTTCTAAAGATTACAATCAGTGCAGTACTTATGGAAAGATGAATATTTTCTATTGAGTTCCTTGTATTACAACCTTTGTCTAACATATTTTCTGTTGTATGATAGTGATATTTACACAAAATGCACAGGAAGTTAAGATGACTGTTCAGTCCAATCAAGTATATTACTAAAACTGAGAAAAAACATACAACTTCAGTGGTAATTTAAGCAAAGGAGTTGGATCCCAATCTTTCATACCTCATGAAGCAGAACTGGACTTTCTTCTGTTTCCTGGGACTGGTACTGAGATAGCAGTGATCTAAAATGCTGTTTATCTGCTTGCACTGATGTGTTTATACTGAGACCTGTTGCAAAAGGACAGTCATTAGCAGTAGTTGTTTCTGGAATTACATTGTTGGTGAAGGCAAAGATACATTTGATGACAGTGGTATTCGATTGGGACCCAAACATTCTAAGACTCGAGCTTTGTTGGTTAAAGCCTTATTTTAAAGAGAAGTTTGCAGTTTAAGTGTATGTCAGTAAGTTAAAGTCCCAGAATGCATCCCACATTCTGAATATGTATATACCTTCATCTTTATTGCAGTTAAGAGTGTTTCAGGTAGCAGTGAAAATGGAGGAGTAACTAACATAGCTAAAGCACTGTTAGCTGAGTTTGAGGCACCAGTGTGTTGTGACTTTCCAAAGATGCAGTAAAATCTCATTATCTAAGTGTTACTGGATTTTTTTATTAGACGTTCTGAGTTTAGCTACCCAGAGGCCTGAGCATTTTCATCAGTACATTTGTGTGCTGTACATATACTTTTTACTTTTAGTTAGGTGTACAAAGATATCCTGTTCAGATAGGACGTGATGTCATAGAAATGTGTCAAATACCATAGAGCCTGTGTTGGGTCAGTTTGTGTGGTAACATTATAATGTAAACTTTAAGAGGTCTGGGAGGGGTATCTCAATCTTCAAGCTCCCAAAATCAGATCCTACAGAATAAAAAATGCTTGTTTTTATGCCTTCTGACTTGTTTGAAGTTAAGCAATTATATAAAGCTTTGCTGAACCGGACTCTTCAGGAGAAATAGTTCACACTATTTGAAATATCACTGATGTTTGAAAGGAGGTTCCAAGGGAGCAATTGAATGTTCCCTTCAAAGAAGTACCTGAATAGGATGAGATGACAATGGCAAGGCCTGTATATTGTTCTTTTATTCTATATTTGGAACAGCTTTGACATGAATACAGGAACAAAACTGTAATCTTACCTATATCACCATTCAATGTTATTCCCAGTTTTGATACCCAAAATCAGAGGAAGACTTACCATAAAAGATGATTTTTCAACTGTTTGCCTTTTGATGGTGATAAGGATGTTGATAAATAATTTGAAAATTACCTCTGAAGAAATGGCACTTACGATGTGGAGGGAAATAGTTTTCTCTTTTGAACCCAAGTAGTTACTTAGAAGCTTTGTTAACAAAAACCAATAGAACATTCTTCAGATTCAGAACTAGGGGGAGCTGTACCTCCAGACGAACTAGTGTGACCTTCTAACAACTGAACAAAGTTTGCTCCCACTGCTAACTTTAACAGATTCACTCAATAATTCAATTTTATTTTACTTAGATATATGGAGCTTCCTGATAGCCTAAACCTACCTTCACTTGTTTGTCAAGAACATTAAAAAAAAAAAAAGCACCCCCACATTGTTTTCTTTCCTGCTGTATAAAAATTGTTACAAATGCACAAAGGAAAGCAACTACTTGAAGAAGTAGCTCTTTCTGAATTTATTATAGGAAAATTCAAGTGAAAAGGAAAAACAATTTCAGTAATTCCAGTTGCAGGTTTCTAAATCATCACTTTCCATTAACTGGCAGAAAATGAAATCCTAATTGGGCAGAAATACCAGAAGAACAGACAGTGTTGCTGGGAATCTAGTCAAGTTATAAAATAGCAGGTCTCGTTTAAGCTAAGAACTTAAGTAGTAATCAGTAATTTAATATTATAATTTAAATAACAATAATGTACAAGTTCACATCAGTAAAGTTAAAAAAAAAAAAAACCAGATGGTGATGTGATGCAACAAAAGTTAGAATTCATTGCTTCATAAATAAACAAAGTTTGTCTGACTTGGAATAAGAAGTAGCAATTTCTTTCTACATCTTAAAATTTTAATTACCAACTTCATCTCTGTATTTCAGTTGTCACTAATGCAGAGTAATGAATTTGCAAAGAAAGTTCCACTTCCTCCTTAGTTCAGAAGCAAGAATATTTAAGCAGTAAGTACTTTAAGTAGTTGCTTAAGCCAGGAAATTCAGCGTTCCAATCATTATCCGAAAGTAGAGAGTATAAGGTTGCTGTGCAAAAAGCTCTCCTATGGAATAGTGGCAAAATGTTTATGATCTTCAGTAGCAGGCCAATGTTACTTTAATATATTTCATGTACTTCTCCCACATAGAGTTTCCATACAAAACACATTTTTAGTAAATTCTAGATACTACATCCAAAGCATATATCAATTAGCAATTTACAAATGCTTCAAGAAAACTACTTGCTTCAATGTTTTTGTCCTTGATAGCATGCATGTGAGCAATGAAGCAGTTCTGAACTTGTATGATTTATAATTGTTTTTAGCAGTTGCTCCCTCTGGTCAAGGGGTCAGCAAACATAGATGCTTAGTGCTATGTGAGACACACAGCCTTTAGCATTCAAGGAATCTGCGGAAGGCTGGCCAGCATTACCCAGGACTGATGGGATACCCATGTCCTTCTGGAACAACTGCAGGGCCAGGCAAATGTGCTACAACATCTCAAATGCCACCAGATGATGCCTATTATTAGGCAACTGAATCCCACACAAGATAACTGCTCCTGGAATGGTTGATAGATAAACTTGGCTATGATAAATTTCTCTCCAATACCTGCCTGAGTCCATAAAAAAAGAAATAGTTTACTAAAGAATTATTTCTTCCTGTTGATAGAATTAACTTTCTATTATTTTACTATGTCTTTCTACTATGCTATTGTATCAGTTTTGCTGATGGAAATAATTGAGAGGATATCCAATAATGGGTTTATTACAAGCTCTGATTGCCTATTTAAATTTACTTATTATGAATAAAACCAAAAGGCTGCTAAGGATATATACTTTTCTCTCTCAGATATTCCCTCTCAGATGAACTGACAATATGATCATCAGAATAGCCTTTAAACTTTGTAAACCTTGTACCTCAAATCCACTCCCTTCCGTGCAGCGCAACAAAATGCAAGTTGCAGAAGCTTCAATAATAGGCACCAAAGGATCTCTGCTTCTAATAAGCTATAGGTTTTAAGAATGAAAAAAAAAAAAAAAGAAAAAAAGCATCTAAAAACCCAGCTAAATTCATTATTTTGACTGATCTAAAAGCACTTGGAAAGTCTGTACTAACACTAGGAACTTGCTGCATGAGGTTAGCGTGTGAGGTGCTTTGTTTCAGTGAGATGTGATGTTGGATCTGTAGCCGTGAGATGACCACTTCTCATGGCCAAATCAAAATGAACAAGCCTGAACAAAAATTAGGCTGCAGAAGTGGAGTGATTGTTTCATGATCTTATTAAAATAGACAAACAGCTCTTGATGCAAATAGACACCTACAATAGCAACACTATTTCACTGTCTCTATTACAGTACTAAAACTGTACGTATGTTAAAGGCTATTCAAATGAAAAAATGGGTGAAGTATTAACCACAGGTCATGCATTTATAGTCATAGAATACACAAGCATAAAAGAACCACTTCTATTTAAAGCATACGTGCCAGAATATTTTTTGTTTATATAAAAGTACTGTCTCTACATTTACTTAGGAATATACATCCCAATTACAAGACAATATAAGATTCGCATAATGAGGCAACAAGGGAAAACAAATATACCCTTACTTTTGTTGTGAGGTACTGAATCATCTTTGTCTTTTGGGATTCTAAGCAAGCGATTGGCATAGATGTTCTTTATGTAAAGTTGCCGATCCTTTTCCTAAGAAGGAATAAATACTATTAAGTTCCTTGAGTGCATTAAGGATTAGTCTTTACCGATTTGATTTTCTTATGCTGGGAAAAAAATGCCAGCAATATTCCTTTGTTCTAAACCATTTGGTGACTTTGTCATCCACTAAGCATGGATCAGCCATTTTCTTTCATGAGCCAAACCAAAATTCTTTCCTTTAAAGGCTAAAAGCACATTTTTACACCTTTAATAACAATGTTCAGAAAATGAGGCTTTCTGTAACATGACATAAACTTCTGAGGAACGCTTTCAGCATCACTTTTGTAAGAATCATGTTTCCATACTTAAATTTCAGTAACATTCTCACTAATCAATTCCTGGTATGAAAAGGAGTTACATTTAATTTGGGCACAGAGGTTGATCTGAAAGAGAATTACATCTGTATACTTGAATGGTCTGAATAAGCCACGTGTGCAGAACTGTAAATATGTGTAAGAATAAACTGTTCTGGCACAGAAATATGGTTAATAAGCATGTCAGCTTCTTGTGGTAAAACAATACAAGGTTTTGTGAATCTAAACATAGCATTATGAAAACACGTGAAGAAATATTTAGAAAAGTCTTAATGTGGGAACTGTACTTTAAAATAATCTGCATTCTAGAACAGCTTTACATGAATTTTCCTAGGGCTGTAACTATTTCCATCTCCCAGATTTGCACACATAGATACATATACATAGTCAAGAGGAACAATCAGGCATCTGATTCCATTTTGGAGAAAGCTTCCTTGTAGAATCAACAGATGCATCAGTCACTATACAGAAATAAATAGCATGTTTTAACAATGCTACAAACACTTCTTAGATTAAAAAGACCACAAAGATTTCCATGTTTTCTTGATATGTATGTTTTTCTTAAGCATTATTCACATCACATAACTTTATTTTGTTTTTTGTCTATTCAGTGCCACATTTTATGTTCTTCCATACATTTAGTGAAAAGTGTTACTATAAGTGTTAAAGTTGACACAGATGTCCCAAAAATATTTTTGTAAAAAACAAGCTGGAACTTGAAACAAACTCTTGAATCATTTTTCTAAGTCTTTTTGGTTGCTTTTCTGATTGTAATGTTTGGCTCATTTTGATTTGAAAGTGTTCCTGTAAAGAAGCTCATATTAAGTGGATATATTGAGCTAGATCTAACAAAACAGTAACAGGTTGGTGGGTACTATTTGTTCAAATTATGATACATTAATCTATTCCAGTTAGTTACTGAAGTCAAAAGACAAACAGACTCTACAACAATTTCATAATTTTATATTTTGACTTTTTTTTGTTGTTAGACTACAGACTCAAATATGAATAAAAACTCTATTAGTAAATAATGAAAGAAGCAAATGAACAGATAAAATTAATGACTTGAGTCTTCCTATAGGAGCAGAAATCTGTTTAGAATCTCGAATACCTTAATTTTTTGGTGAAGAGAGTTAATTTCCATTTGCAAGTTCTTTGTAATTATTCCAGCTTCAACAGCTTTTTTATTCTCATTTGCCAGCTGGCGACTAAAGGTGCTATTGTTCAACTTCAGCTGCTTTTCTAGGCTCTTAAAAAAATTACACGTTTTACAATATGGATGTACTTAGTGTGAGTGTTAAAAAGTTTTCTATTGTTACCAGATCTAAAAAATAAGCATGCTAATATAATGAAAAGTAAGCTTCTATTTATTGTAAGCAATGCATGAAATGATTCGAGTATCTCTAAAAGTACTTTAGAAATGAGCAAAAACAGACTTAAAACCCAATTAATACTGATCAAAAAATAAAGTGCCTGGCATTTCAACATGAAAAATTAGCCTGTACATTACCATTCTGATAAAATTAATGAAAACAATCATCTTCAAGACATTCTCATACACTTTAGTTCACACCAACATCGATTTACTATGGCAGCATAAAGAGGCTTAGTGTAAATGAAGAGTAGGTACTTTACCAAGTACTTTATCATCAGAACCCAGTGCCATGCACTAAAGTAACAATTACTAAAATTGTAGGGGGAGAACCCAATCCTGCAAGCTTTTTATTGCTTCTCACTGTGACTTCTGTAAATAGAGAGTTTCAGGAGTCTGAATTCAGCTGTTTACATTTTCATTTTCTTACCGGTAATAAATACTTCAGACCCAGCTTTTCAGATAGTGAAATGCCTTTAAGATTACCTGGCTCTTTATTTAATCATGTGAATAATGTACCCCATAGAAAACAGAAATTAATTCCTGGAGGAAAATGGACTTTTCTAGTTCTGTAATAAAGCCCGTATTCCTGTTTCCTCATGAAAGGTTTAGTAAAGCTTTACATAAAAGATAAAAAAGATAATTTGAATGATCTCTTCTTGAAATCCCACCAGACTTTTACTACTCCTGCATAATAAATCAGCCATAGAGCCAACTCTAAAAGCAGACTGCAGTGAGTAACAGTAAGTAGTGAACTGGAGATGTAGCTACACCCATGCTGCCCACCAGCGCCACATGGAAGGAAGGGTGCTTGTTTCCAACTGAGCCAGCTTCTCTTGTCCAAGGAAGCAGACCAGCAGCAACCAGGTGGTCTCCATGTATAACTAACGCTGTGTTTTATCAGGGCAAATCAGGGCTCAGGGAGTTCCACACCATTGCAGCTGGACTGCCCAAGAAAGGCTGGGTAACTCCATGCTGCTGGCAGAGAGTAGAGCAGACATTCTATTGAAGATTGCCCTCCAGCTATGTGTTGTGCTTCTGACCTAATAGGGTTAAAACAGGACTTTAATCCTTAGAAATCTTTATTGCTGGATTTAATTCACTCAGTCATTACTGACAAATTTTACAATACTGGAAAGAGTACTACCATTTTTTAATGTCTAGCTTAAAAAGAACGCTCAATACTAGAGGATTGTATTATAATAATCAGTTTGACAAGAAGCAGCTAAAAAAAACCAACATCCACTACTCTTGCACAGAAACCTCTCCTATTATTCTTTCACAAATAAAATGATATGCATATATTACCTGTATTCTCTTATTATTCACTTCCATTTTTTCTGTAAGGACTGATAATCTGTGATAAAGTTCCTCTTTCTCAGCAAGAGTCTTGTCTTCTGAAAGCTTATACAAGGCTTGCAAATCATCTTTAGCTTTTAGCAGCTCTGCTTCAACTTTCCTAAGCTTTCTGGATGCACGTCTTTCTTCCTCCTGAGACATCCTCAGGTGTTTCCTCAAAGTACTCACCTCACTATAATGCCTTGTTAACAGATCAGGCAAGACACTTTCTGAATTTTCATATCCACCTATTGCTTTTGAGTGCCGATACCAAAGCCGTTTCAAAACCTGGTTTTCTAAGTTTGATGCTTCTAACTTGTGTTGCAAATCAAATATTTCATTCTTCAGCTCTTTAATTTTATGAAGTCTTGCTGATAATATTCGCTGAGCCACTTTATTTTTTTTCTGGGAAATCATATTATTCTGCAGGCTTAAAAATGAAGAATTCTGATGTGGTATCTTCTTAGTTGGCAATTTCTTTCCCCCTGCATTCAGATCAAAGTAAATTGACATTGATATATACCCATCAATCAAGACAGCAAAATCACTGCTATGTCTCCACCTGCTCACACAAGCTCCTGCATTACTCATCCAGGGTACTTAAATGTACTGTGACCAAAGGCCCAAGATCTATAAGAAATCAATGTTCAAAACCATACACACACACATAAAGCAATCCGTAATGGATTTATGTGGGCCACAGCTACGTAGGAAGCTACATAGGTCTGTAATGGCACAAGGTTGCCTCCTTTCACTTTATGAAGCCATTTTCATTTGGAATAGCCATCACGTTCAACTTCCTTTAATAAGGATAATGAAGTACATGTTTGTCTTCTGGGGCAAACACCAGGAACATTTTGTGAATAACTCAGAAAAGCACACTTACAAAGCATACAGTATTCCAGTATCAATGGAAACAGATTTTTCCTCCTTGTATATATTTAGTTCACTAATATATTTGGGAGCTGTTGAAGCCAATTTATCCCACCTGGAAGGATTTCTACAGGCTTCAAGAGGAGGACCTACACTTTGCATAGGGGCATGATAGAAGAAAAATAACAATAACTAAAGGTCTGCAAGAACTCAAAACTCAAGGTGATCAAAATTTGACATGGTTACATATCTGTGAAGTTATGACTTCTGACCAGCTTTCTGGAACTTCTGAGGCAAGTCTGAGCTAAGTTTTTCACTCTTAAATGCTTGTAAGCATAGAACAGTTATGCAGTCATGTACATTGTTTCTAAGCAGTAATTAAATATATATATATTTTAACGGCTAGCATTCTAAGTGTATTACTGTCATTTTGCCTTTCTGTATGGCCAACATTCTAAGTGAATGATATTAATTTTCCTTTCCTGAAATGTAAGTAAAATTTGAAAATAGTCAAGACTATATCAGTGTGTGCTCCCCCCTTTCAGACACATATTCAGTCTCATTCTAGCTTTCAGATCATTTCAGACAGCATTTTGCTAGAAGTTTATAATAATAATTTATGGATCAAAAATATTTTACGTACAAAATACCCAAGGTCCTAACCCAAAAAAAGAATAAAGAAAAATATCAGATCTTTTTAAGAATTTCAGTAGAATTCAATGAGCATTCCACATATAAAATATTTACAGGAGCAGGCCCTAATTACAACACCCTATAGCAGAAAGGAGGCAACAACAGTCATGTCAGGACAAGGTAAATCAGGACACCGTCTCAGACAGCAAAGTCACGGTGTCAGCCTCACTTCTTCCATGAGCAAAGCTAGAATAGTGGAAAGCTACAGCAAGAGTGTTACTTAGGAAGACAGAGGCAAGTGGTAGAGTGGCTTCTGCTGTGGAAAAGGCTCTTCCTTGCAGCACCTGGTTGGATTTAAGGAAACACAGATATAAAAATAGGCAGTAGAGATTCTTCACTGCTAACATTTACAAGGAGGAACTGTATTTGTGCTATATGGTCATTGCACTGAAGCATAAATTCTACATAATACGCTATGACTAAGATGGCCAGGTTTTTGTCTAAGAGTTGACGTGTTTGTGCAGACATACAATTTTCATTAACTTTCCTTAAGAAAAGTTCTTTTCAGACTCATCAGCTTATGCATAGTCCAAACCATAGAAATCACAGTATCTGCAGGAAAGTCACTCAACACCAAGGAATAAAGACTGCAAAGGTGTTCCCACATCTCAAGTGATTATCCTGCCTCTTGGGTCAATGAATATTATGGCATAACATAGTAAGGGGTCTCTACCTCTCTTTCTCCTCTTTCTGGTGTTCAAAACATGATTTATTATTCTTCAGTGAAAAAGTGTTTTTCCTGCCCTCCTCATTACAAAAAAAAAAAAAACAAAAAAAAAACAAAAAAAAACCAAAGCCATAGAAAGGGAACAGCTGCATTTTTGAAGACAGTCTCATTTGAATACTACCAGAAAATGAATTACCTTTATTGTTTTGGGAAAAGATCTGTTGTTCTTTTTTCTTCTTTTTCTTTCTTTCATTTTTCTGCATTTTCTTCTCTTCAGTTTCAGATAGTTCTAAACAATGGCTGCTTCTAGCTGTTTCAGAGCAAGTCACTGACAAAGCCCTCAGAATAGTTAGTTTAATGATTTTGACTTCTGCATTTTCCACTGCGTTGCTTACAGTCATTACCTCTGCTTCAGCTGCTGCTTCTAATATTTCTGTGCTTTGGGGAATCGTCTGTGTCACATACTTATTGGGACTTCCTATCCTCCTGCACTAAAATATAAAGGAAATATTCATTTGAATTAATCACTGCTGTGGTAAAAGGCTTAAAAATTGACCTCCATGTCCTATCAGGAACTAAAATGTTAGTGAGTTATGTACTATTAACGTAAATAGTATTAAACAGTCTGCAACTATATTAAGCAACACTAAGGAATACTAAACCATTAGAATAATTGTGTGTTCTGTAGTAAGCAGTAACTTTATATTTCATATTTGCAATTATTTCTATAAATAAAAAATTCGTTTAACTCAGAATTTACTGTAATACTGGCATGTGTTTTTTGAAGATTATTTACAAGATACTGCTGCTTAAATGTAAACAGATACCACGGTTTGTTTCCAGTAACATACCTATTTTATCCAGGATAAGTATATTTAAAAGAAGTACAATTGTGTTTATACTCAATACTAAAAAGTGCTTTGTAATATTATATAATAATTCTCTAAAGTTAAGATGATGGTTATTGCTAATTGTATTCTTTTGTTATTTTTTTGTTGTCCATGTCACAAAAGTATCATTTAGTCATATTTTTCAATACTTAGGTCACAAATTAGATCACAAAATGAAGTTATCTTAACAGACACATTAACATAATCAGCAGAGGATGTAGCAGCACTTAAAGCTATACAACACAGTCTCTGATTTTGACACTGAAATAAAAATCTTCTGAAACTTTTGGGACGTTGTTTATTTTACTTATTTTCAAATAGAAACAAAACAGAAAATAAATAAATAAAATTAAGCAATATAATAAAAGTACCTCTGCACAATTTCAGAAGAAACGTTAGGAAAATAAATACTTCTTTTTTTTTTTTTTTTTTTGAAAGTGCTGTAAGACACTGCTCTACGTGTCAAGGCACTTACAACTGGAAATATCAGCTGCAATGCACTGTTGTCAGAGACGTGGTTCTCTGATGCAGTGATCTTACTTTGTTTGACTGGATTTATTTGGAGTAATCTTTTCTCAGTAGTCTCATTTTCAAGCAAAATGAATTCTTCTAATTGTTTAATTGTTGAAATAGAATATATCTAGCATAAAATGTAAAATGCTGACATGTGATACGTGTTTGTAAGTATGTTATACCTAAGTATTTTTTTTATTGAGTCTTCTGGAAAGTAGAGCAGATTGACTTCAATAGCTAACACTTCTGGCAATATTATTTAAACAGTGTAGTTTCAGTAAAAAGGATTTCTTGGGATATAGCTCAGTCTTTCTCAATATGACCTGAAGATGACTCAGCCCATTGTTTTACAGATGCAGAATTCTACTCACTAGTAGAATAAATTGTATATCTGGGGGGACTTAAGAGAGAGTAGCAAGTATGTAAAGGAAATTAAAGGGGTATTAAAATGGTAGTTCACACAAAATGTAAGAAGCAGCCTTAGCTAAAAAAAAAAGGGGGGAGGTGGGGGGGAAGGGAAGATATTTATTAAATATTCTTCCTATTTTGTTGTCATTTTTGCTTTCTGGTGAAATTTTACTTAAAATTAAATTTCTTAAACAGAAAAGGGGAATCACTTAACTCCCCCTCCCCACCAAAAAGTGCACTTTAGGATTGCACAAAACATTGCAGGTCAACTCAGAAGTTTCCTTACTCTTCATTCTCTGGTACAAATTACTTTTCATTATGGAAGACGGAGGAGTGCCCAGCTGAGCCACTCTAATCACACCTAGGAGATGGGAACTTGTAACATGAGGATGAGGCAAAGGCCAGCTCGGTACACAGATCTGTACTGCTGTTCAAATTTCATTTAGAACTGTCAACACTTTCTGGCCAAATTGAGTCTAAATCAAATAAGCCTCAATTCAACTTAGAACTGCTGCTTTGTGTTGATGAGATGCGTGGGCTGAACCTCACTATGCATTTTCAAAAGCAGACATTGAGAAGTAAATTAAACGGGAAAGAAGAAGCCAAGAGGAGAAAACACAGAAGGTTAAGGACAAGTAACGGGGAAATTGAGGCTTCTTACAATAGGAAGAAAAAAAACCCAAACAGTACTTGACTAGGAAATGAAAGGCATGAGCACAGGGAGAGCTTCTGTTCAGCAGGAGTGCCCCGGGCTCCTCCAAACAACCCAGCAACCTCCCCCACCTCCCCGGCGGAGGCTCCTGCTGCCAGCCCAATGCAAAACAAGAAGCCCTGGCAGGATAGCAGTCGGCCCCACGCCCCGAGAGCCGCCTCCACACCTCACCGCCCTGCCCCTCCATCACATCGCCCCGGGCTCTCTCTCGCCGCCATTACCAGCCGTTGGGTGCCGCCGTTGCCGTGGGGACGGGCAGCGGCCGCAGGGCATCCTGGGAGTCGTAGTCGTGGTCTCGCCATCTTACCTTGCTGCCTCCCCCCTACTTGTCTATGTCTGCGCTTCCTCCCCGCACACGCTATTCGTATTTGTGTCCAGCGCTACACATAAAGCTCCTTATGCTCTAAAATCTTTACCTCTAATGGTTTCTCTGTCTGCTGGCTTTGAGTTTGTTCTCTCCCCGTGTGGTACAGAAGGGGAATCGGATGCCAAACAGCACAGAAAATGTTTGCCTCGTTTCCCAGTTATAATTTTTAATGCACCAAGAATGTGTTATTGCTATACGTGCAACAACTATCAGTATGCTTTGGAGCACGCGACCACAGCAACCTTTGTAATTCTTTAGAGCATTTGTATCCATATCAACTCATTTGTAAACAGTACCAGACATGTTCATTCTGTTTATTAGGAAAGTTTTCACTTACATGCAATTTTTTCTAGAGAAACAGTCATAGAATCAGAGAATTACAAAATGGTTTGGGTTGGAAGGGACCCCAAAGCCCACCCACCCCAACCCCTGCCATGGGCAGGGCTGCCCCCCACCAGCTCAGGCTGCCCAGGGCCCCATCCAACCTGGCCTTGAGCGCCTCCAGGGATGGGGCACCACAGCTTCTCTGGGCAGCTGTGCCAGAGCCTCACCGGCCCTCTCAGTAAGGCATTTTCCCCAATATCTAACCAAAATCTCCCATCTTTTAGTTTAAAGACATTTCCCCTCACCCTATCTCTATCAGACCCTGCGAAAAGTCAGTCCTCCTCCTGTTCATAAGCTCCCTTCTAGCACTGAAAGGCCACACTGAGGTCTACCTGCAGACTAATCTTACTCACACTGAACAAGTCCAGCTCCCTCAGCTTGTCTTCATAGGAGAGGTGCTCCAGCCCCTTAAACACCTTTGTGGCCCTCCTCTGGATCTTCTTCAAAAGCTCCGATATCTAATAACCTCGAGCAAAAATGTGATGTTTTGTACTAAGTTGTTTATCATGTTTTACAGGTAAATACTCCGTGAAAATACCTCGTTCCAAATGTTTTTTTTTTTTTTTTTTCCCAAACCTCCCATTGCTTCTCAAAAGAAGAAAAACTGACAGATGGCAAGCCACAGTAAACAGTGCAAAATATCCATACTGTTATTTTTAGTTTTCACTGAGTTTTTTTCAGGATTCCTGTTCAATACATGAAATGCTGCATTTCCAGCTTCATGTAGCAGTTTGAATGTGCAAAAAACTTAGTTTCTAAAGCAGCATTTTTCTTGTGCTCTTTCTAATCAATCCTAGTAAGGAAGGATTATATTCCATTTTAAGTAGTTTTAGGATTGGACACTGTGATGTTCAATCATAATTTTTAGTATGTACATAAGGTCAGTTTTACCTCTGACTGCAGGTCAGCTTGCTGAACTCAGTATCACGTTGCAAGCTTAGAGCAGAAATGAACCTGGTCCTTAGAATCTAAAAGTAATCTGTCAGTATTTAACATTCTTTAAATACTTTTCGTGCTGAGAGACCTTCTTGAGCAAATATGTGCAGGCAGACACTGAATTGTGACTGTCTTGCGATAGAAGAAAACAGCCAGATAGAAAAAAGTGCATCCTGGATAACACAGTAGAATAGAATTCTTTTTACCGAGAATTCTGGACCTCCTCTTACATCTTGTGCATTGGAAAAATTCACCAGTGATGCAAAGAGGAGGAAGAGAATCCAATAATAGGGTTTGCAGACATGCAATTGGTCCAATCACCCTCCTCAGTATCAGAAAATGGATTGACATAGTCATTTCAGAGAAGTGCCTGAGCCCTGCAGTTTGGATCATGATCTGAGTTTTTTTCTGCTGGGAGTACTTGTAACAGTAAGAAATCTCTGATCTCTGCTATAATTACTTTTGAACTTATGTTCCCCCTGTCCTCCCCTCCCTTTTGTAATGTGAAAAAATGTCCTTACTGTGGTCAGGGATAGGGTGCAAGCCCTTTTATGCTGAAGGTGACTGAGACCGAACCAACACAACTTTAAACATTACCCTACAGCTCTGTGATCTTCCCCTGCACTGTGTTCCCTGATCCCTGTCCCTTGTCCCTTCCCCCTCTCCTGAACATTTCTCCAGCCCTGACTCATTGGTGCAGGACTCTCCTTTGCCTTTTATGGACTGCCATCCTGTCAATCTAATTCGATAAGGCCAGGGGCAGGTGCAAACCCCTTGCTGTGGCTCTTCTTACTACCCAATCCTCACACTGGCCCCTCATCCCGAAATACCTAGGAGCCAATGGAGTGGGAAAACCTGGGACCCTGAGGAGAGAGGGAGCTAAAGCTGGTGGATTGCTGTGAGGGGCACCTATTTAGGATCTAGGTCCTGCTGAAGGCTGGGATTGCTCTCGGGACTTTGTTGACTTGTGGATAGCAGGCGTGCTCTGCTGATTCATTTTCATCACTGTCAAAATGGTGATCAAAGTCTTTGTAGCCACATCTTCGGGGTCTACAGCGGTAGGTGTCTCATTTAACATACGCCTCTTTCTGCTGGCATGAAGCTGGTAAATTAGCCTGGAAGATCCCAGAACAGCCTGAGTTTGCATGCAAAAGGAAAACACTGATTTTATTCTCATCTGTATTGACCACTTTATTTTTGAAAGCAACTCAAGATGTAGAAAATGGATGTTAATGCAAACTTGCTCGCATGTCAGATTGTACTGTAGATATAACATTTCCATATAAATTATCTGTCAGTTAATAGATTTATTTCTGTTTGAAGAAGTATATGCAAAATATCTTAACTGAAGAAGGAAAAAATGGATATTGTATTTGCACAAATACTAAGGTAGGTTGTTTGTAGTAGAAATTAATGTATTTAATTTTAAAGGAAACTTCAGGACGCTGCTCCTGCTGAATGGGATCTGTGTCTGATAAAGAGCCTGGAGTCAAAGCAAGCTGAATAAAGTTTTGCAGAAAGAATGTTTTCTCCATCCTCTTTTTTTTTTTAAGTACCTCTTAAAATGGGGTACTGTTGATTCTTAGAATTGAGATCTACTGCTGTAGCTGTCAGCATAATGTATTAGTTGAAGGAAAGGGCATGTGAATAGTAGAGAGGTTGGAAGACTGTGGGAGGTGGGAACCGGGAAAGGACTGTTTCCTTTTATATCCAGTTCCCATATCATCTCAGATTGCAGCTTTCCTTTGGCAGTCACTCATTCCCAGTGACATGGCTAAACAATTTGGCTGGTGCTAGCACATAGCTGTAACTACATCTCTGTCTCTCTGATACTAGCCTCATGTCTTTAAGAAGCTTCCAGAGTTTAAAAGCTCCAAAAAAAACCCCATCATGCCCTGATCATAGAGCCATCATCTCTAGAAAATGAACAGGGAGATATTCACTAGAATTCAAACTTCCAAAGGAAATTTTGCAGCTTTTGCAGCTTTCTCATCAGCTTTTTTTTTTTTTCCCCACCTATTTATAAGCTTGACACTCTGAATTTACCTTTAACACTTTACTATTCCTTTTTTAATAAGAAACCTTATATGCAAGACAGAGAAAGAAGAAAAGGAGGTTGGTAACTGCAGGTTTATTAATTTGTAATCTAACAGTGACTACTTAAACAGTGTTGTAAATTGCCACAAAGTGTGCACTGGCAGTCTTTTTTCTCCTATTTGATCTCCTGTTTTGGTCTGCTTTGTTTGACCTAACAAGAGCCTTACCTGCCCACTTTAACAGTCATCTGTTCTGCAGAAAAGGTGTGACCATGACCAAAATGCCACTGCAGACATCGTCTGTGTGCGCTGTGACCATTATCTTGGTCCTCCTTTAAGATAGATGTGCGACTCTGACATGGATTGTTGCCATTCCTGATACAGATTTGGGGTTGTAGTTCAGCAAAGGAGTGTTTGAATTAAATGTTGACATTCAGGAGGTCACTTAAGCAATTAAAACTAAGCATGTCATATACTTAGTTCTATCTGAACCCAAATATTTTCTTTGCTATGCACATTTCTTGCATCTCTCTCCTAGCTTTCAGCAATAACTACCTCCTTTCCTGTTGGACTGCAATGAAGAGGTGTATGCGTATGCTATACTGAACACAGGGCAACATGAAAACTTTATCCCATCGTTTTGTACTATTAAGCATTGCTGCTGTCAGTTTTTACTTCTGAGAAAGACAACTGATGCCAGTGAACTGCAGTTGGCTTTAAACTTATTAATGCCATTCTCCACTATATGGTAGCAGCCTTCAAAAGCTGTCAGTGAGATCCCAGACATATTGAAAGGAAGAGTATGGCATCTCTGCCAGGCAATATGCCTCTGTATTTCCTTTTTGCTAGTGTGTGGGTTGTATGAATAGCTGTAGCAATCTCAGAAAGCAGCATGTGTTTGGATTACTGGTACATAACTTTAATTCCAAGTAAACACAATGTTCAGCTGGAGAAGTTTTCCACATTTACTCATTAAAATAGATGGTAGGTATTTTTTCAGTGAATTTTGGTAAGTTTTGATATATATATTAAGTAAAACTTACTCATTCAAGGAGCTAACATAAACCCCAGTATAGTATTATATTATGAATTTTGTATCAGCCTTTGCAACTTCTGCTATTCCTCTCCATGGAAATTTTTAGTAAAAGGCAAAAGATTTATATGATCTGAAGAGAAACCAGAGTATCTGTTGGAAGAATGAATTTCATCCCTAAATTCATTTTTAAATTGGAAGTCTAAATTGTCCTAGTAGCTCTGATGATCTCTTCAGTGTGTCTGGTCTCCATCATGCATGTTGTTCATTCTGAATTTCAAAATATGATGGTCCTGACCATTCCTGTTGTAGGTCAGCAGAGTATCATTAGTTAAGAATTAAAATAATTCATATTTTATGTGGTACACAATTACATTGTTAATTGCAACTGGTTGTTGCGTAAAGAAGTACTTTTTAAAAGTGAATGCAATGAACCCAGCAGCATTCTTGTGCTCTGGATCAGACGCTTGAGTGATATAATTCAGTGTAGGTCTAGGGCAGATTGGTTTGTATTTTTCCCCTCAGTGATTCAGAAATTTGTTTTAAATAACTTTAGCTTAATGATCTTTCTGTGCCAAACATAGCTGATACTGAGCTATGCATGAAGGCAAGCAGGAGTGGAGACACAGCAAAAAAAATAGTACTAAATGATTGGCTTGTAAGAAGCATTCAGTGCTACAATAATTTTGTTACTAGCCACAGAAGTATTTAGAAATGGGTAAATTCCTGCAAAATCCAAGTGTATCATGAGGTCTTACACAGAGGTCTTCTAAAGTCTTGCTTCCTAGTGCTTATGGTTAGGGCACCTCTAAAACCACTTTTTTTCCAGTGTTTCTGTTTCTTTTAGCTTACTCGCTTTCAAATCTGTAAGTCTCAGTTGTAAAGTAACTCAATCACATCAGAAAGACCAAGCAAGATGTAGACTAATTAGAATAATACTTGATAGCATAACTTAATAGTAAGTTAGAATGTAATAAATAAGAATATTGATCAACAGATTGTGTCTCAGTTAGAAAAGAGAGCTGCAGCAGCCTTGCCTGCTGACAATGATGTTCCCACTGCAGTAAGTTGCTGACTAGATACCATTTGTTTCTACCGCAGGCAGCTGGTCAGTGGGAATGCTCTGGATTTCAAAAATATAGATAGCATTCAGTTACGCATCGGGTGAATCTACGGTGATCTGCAGCTCTTACACTCTAGCTAGATGATATTTATTTAAAAGCGTTCTTTCTTAATTTAAGGGACTGTCAGCTAGGCATAGCAGAACTTAAGCTTTGTTGAAAGGGAAAATGGCATTGATGAAATGATATCTTGCTCACCACCACTTCCAGAGAATCTATGGTTGAGTAATCTGAATTCTTCCCATGCCATCAGACACAAGTGAGGGCACAAACAAGTTCCTGCAATCTCATCCATTCTGGGAAAACCTTTGTGTGTCCTCTGTGTTGTTATGAACTGGAAGATTTGCCCGAGTGCTGTTTGTTAGAGACATTCTTATGGTTGCCCAGCTATTGGTGCTGACCGTGGCAGAGGCTCGCCTTATGGTTTCATACTTCATGTATGTCTCAGGCACCTAATCTTCTATGCTGCCTAAGTCCTAGTCATTCTAAGTCTTAAGTATCGCCTCCTGCATAGTTTATTATTATTGTCATCATGAAAAACATCTTGCCTTATACTTATCCAGGCATAATTACATGTAGCTTTATTTATCCTCAGCATTCTTCTTCTTTTTTTTTCTTTTTTTCTTTTTTTTCCTGGCACTGTCTGAGCCTCCCATGTATTATGAACTTTAAACTGAATAAAAAATTGTTTATCCAGTATTTATTCTAAAAGTTATAGCTGCAGCCATATGCAGGGGAGCACAGACTCAGTAGTTCTGTTTTCCTTATCTCCTCAGAGGCATTATCTATCTGGCTCTTGCTATTCCAGGAGCCGTATCTCTTTCAGTACTCCAAGGGACAAGCTGATGCTGAAATTGCAGCTGACAGCACTTGAATGCTCTGGCTTTCAGAGCAAGCATTAGAACTCTTAGTACTGGCTCATGCAGATGTTATTAACCCTTTATACAAACAAAATAATGCCACCTCCTCCGATGAAGTGTGCATGTGTTCCTCAGGCAATCCTTTCTGCCATCTGGGTGTGCTTAGCAAATAAACATGCAGCTAAATGGCCATTAAGAAAATGACCTCTAATTAACAATTGAAAATAAGAATGTAAATGAGCACGGTTGAGAACTGTCAGCCTTGTGGCTTGTGAACACATTAGAGTAGTGTTTGCATTCAAAGTTATTTGCTTTTGCTAGCTCACCATAAACCTCTGCTGCTAGATTAACACACATAAAATGCTATATATTTTTATTTCTTATAAGCAAGATGTAACTGTATAGGTAGAAGATATCCTTACCTAAGAACAATAAATTGTATGCTTAATAATAAAAATTTACTCCACCAATAGAATAGGCTTGCAGACTACTTCAGCTTTTTGAGGTTTATTAGATTATAGAAATACATAACCCATGGGTATTTCTCATCTTATTGCCTTTTGCAAATTGATTTACACTAGGTTGGTGTCACTTTAAATTCAAGCACTCCGATTTCTGATTTGTGGAAGATCTGGTTTCAAATCATATGATGAGTTATGTGTAAAACTTACTTGGATAAGTCATTCTAGCTACTGTCATCTTTATATCACACTAAGTTGCTTCATGGAGGAACAGAACTGGAAGGAGAGTCATCTCTGGAGCAGGATTGTGCTAGGCAGTAATATAGTTGTGTGTGACCAAGTAGCAGCATGAGGGAATTTGTACAGATCTGTCCAAACAGCACTTACTTCAAATACTGTAGTTCTTGCAGGATAAAAAATTTGGCCTTACAAGTGTGGAAATGTTAGAAATAGGCAAAACTGGGAAGTTGTTTAACTGTTACTTAGGAGCAGCAGCCCTTTAGTAGAGAAGTATAATGATTATTATTGCATCTTTAAGCTAAAGGGATAAATAAGCTATAGGCTTGATGTCTTGATCCTAGGTCTATACAGTACTACAGTACATCAAAGGAATAAGGGCCACAGTTGAGTTCTAAGCTTTGTATGACATGCTTTATTTATATGTCATGCTTTCTACGGCCATGCTGAAACATTGTCTATAATGTGGGAAATATTCAAGCATAGGAATTAAACTGTTCTTGATTTTCACTTACTTTAATTATGCATAGAATTTAAGAACAGAAACTGAGAAACATACAGCTCTGAAATCTAAATGTCACATGTAAAGAGTAGGAAAAGGGAAGGTCTTGTATATTGAGGAGAAAATGTACATATCTACATATGTAGGCAGGATTAGTTTAGCTATTTGTACACAGCACTCACGGATCTGGAAACAGAGTAGGAGGCTTTCTTTTCTGAGATGGAGGGGAAAAGGAAGCTGGGGGAAAAGAAAACTAACACTAGTGGACTGGGTGCTGAGAAGTGTTCAATCTCATCTTCATAAGGTTTGGAGGAGGCACAGGAGCAGTGGATCCAACTTGACATACTTGCATCAGCTCTGCTTGTAATACTAATTGCTTTTTGAAAACAAATTTCAATTTGAAAAAGCAGTTTTGTTTTTCCTCTTTCCTAACCAGATCAAAAAGAAACAGCAAGAGGTAGTGGGCTTTTTAGAGGCCAACAAGATTGACTTTCAGCAAATGGACATAGCAGGTGATGAGGACAACAGGAAATGGATGAGAGAGAATGTTCCTGGAGAAAAAAAGCCTCAAAATGGAATTCCTCTTCCTCCACAGATCTTCAATGAGGAGCGGTACTGTGGGGTAAGAAGTTATTTGAAAATCTAATGCCTTTGGACAGTCTTCTTTTACAGAAAGTGACACTTTTTCATTAGTAAGAAGTGTCCCCAAACAAGCTCCTTAAGACAATTAGAGATTCACTTTCAAGGACCAATTCTTAGAAAAAGTTTTTAGGCATGGAAAGAAAATTAAAGATAAGATTTTTTTTTTTTTTTATGAGAAAAATACAGTTGGAAAAGTGATGAGAGAAACTCTGCTTATCACTAAATTGATTATCCCCTGCAGACCTATGCCTATGCATGGAGTTTGCCTTCTGTGAGGAGCTCCATGCTTTTCCTTCCACATTCTCCTACCTCCTGCTGTGTTGCTCACTCACACATTAGCCTGCTGTAGGCTCACTGCCTAAATTCTTCAGCTCCTGAAGACCAAAATCAGTACTGGCTAGGTGATACTCTGTGTTCTTCACACAATATCACAGGATAACCATATGTAGACTGTGTAGACTATGAAAACAACTCGACTGCTCTCAGAGTAGTGAGTGCTCAGTGATGTGGTTTAACAATATTGACCTACTTGGTAGCTGTTTGGCACTTCAATTCTCGAACTTTCAGTTAATTTTGTGTGGTGTATGTTGGTTCCCTGCACTGCTAGGAAGTCAAGCAGATGTCTGAGGCACCAGGGGCTGTGAACAAGCATCTTTCTTTTTCACTGTGTTACAGGAAATATATTTAACTGGAATGGTTCTTATGTGTGGTTTGAGTTATTGAAATTAAATTACTTATTCAATAAATCCAACTCTTCATAACAGAAACGGTAACACATCTTCACATGTGCTTGTAACAGGTTATTTCTTTTGAGAAAGTTCAAATTGGTGATATAATACTTTTGCAACATAAATATTAGGATTGAGATTCAAAGGAGAAACCAGAGACAGTTTTTTTGCTTATAGTACGTATGAAAATACAAGCTGTAAAGTACTCCGATATGATCTCTGAAGTGAACTTGCAAAGTACTTTGAAACGCAGCTCACATAGTGTGTCCAGTTTTATGTTACTCAGCAAATCCTGTGTGAACTACTGTAAAGGTTGCTTTGGGAGAGAAGGGATTTGCATGTCATAATGTTTTCAGAATTAACTGAAGTACTCTGAGAAAAAAAAGTTGGTAGTTTGAGTAATGAGTACAATTGTTTCCTCATTTTCTCACAGGAATTTTGAAAGAGAACTTGGTAGGTTAGATTTCATGGACATTTTAACATCTAATCTGTACCATTATAAAGTATCACTCGATATATCTTACTCTGGATTTTGTGGCAGCCAATGTTGCCATAAATATTTCTGAGATTCCCTAGAGAGGTTATCTAGTGAATTGAAGAGTAATTGCCTTGCAAAGCACTGCAGCCAGTCAGCCTTGCCAGTAAATGATAAATATCCCATTTTTACTCCATGTGTGAAGCCGTTTTAGGAAGCCAAATAATCCGCATCTGAAAGTAAATTTATGTTAAAGAGAAGTCCTTTCAAAAACATCTCAGTTTGGAAAAGAGTTCAGAAATTAATTGTAGCTACCGATTTAAAAACTAAATCAAACTTACAATTAGTTTAAAAGTCTCCAGAGTTCTTACATGCCAAGCGTATATCTAATGACCCCAGTGGTTGCATAACAACGATTCATTTTTTGCATGACATCTCAGCACACTTTCCAAATAAATAAGGTAAAAATATCAATACATGGTTCTTACCCTTCTCCATGGGAGAAGGTGCTTTAGAGGAGCTGCAGAGTTAGATGAAGTGAGATGGCGTGGGATGGTTGAGAGCATGGCCAGCAGCTGGCAGGCTGCTGCAAAATTCCTCAGAGGGACCTGATGTCTTCCACAGTATATCTGCAGTATAGAGCTGGGGATTTGCATTGTACTTTCCTGCATAACCTTTGCGGGCACAACAGACTAATCATTCTGAAACCCAGGACTGTTTTGCCCTGTTTGATGTTTACATAATGTATATACCTTAACTTTTCCCCAGTTTCCCACTTCCTTTGTCTTTGCACAGAGGAAAAATAGAGTGGAGGATAGTGAAGTTCCAGTCCTGAAGTCATAAAAGTCCCTTTAAAATATATTGTTCTTGTTATAAGAGTCTTGAAGGGTCTCAGCTTCATGACATCTGGAAGCCTAGAATTTGTAATCTGTATATATGCAGCCATTTTATACCCATTTCCTTGTATGCCAAAATTGCCCTTTAGCTTAAACAGTTCTCATCCAGTGTATTTGTAACTGGAGGTCGTTTCTCTTAATGTTCTTTTTCACTGGGTGCAAAGTCAAGCTCTTTGCACCACTGAGTGTTTTTCTTGTTTTTGTTTTTTTGTTTTTGCTTATTTGTTTGTTTTGTAAGACTTATTTTTTTCTCCTTTCTATCTTCTTTTTTCTTTCCTCATTCCTCATTCACTTCCCTTACCATTGATGGTCCTGTATGTTTTTTTCCCAGTCACACATCTACATGTATATACATAAGCAGTATCCTGCACTCAGGGGATTGGGAAAATAAAAATTCAGGATAAAGATTTTCTTCCTCCCCTAAGAAAGAGGGATTTGAATAGAGACATGACAACCTCCAACTGTTTTAAAGGCTGCAGCTGCAACAAACACAGAGGAATTCATTATTGGTCTGAATTAAGTAGTGATCCTGCTTCAAGTAGGAGCTTGGACTAGATGGTCTCCTGAGGTCTCTTCCCACCTGAGCTGTCCTGTGTTTCTAAGACTTTGTAAAACATGTTCTGCTCCATAACCACTGGAGATAGATAAGATGAAATATACAAAAACAAACAAACAAACAAAAAAAAAACCAACCTACAGCAAATGAAGTTTTAATCAGGTATAAGCAAAAAATATATATACGTAGTGTTATCTAGTTGGCATTTGAGGAAACAGATTAGAAATTGATTTGTTTTCTATGCTTGGCTATTGCACCAGTTTCAAATTTCCATTCTAATCCATCAGTGTTGGCAATTATGTTCTTATTTGATCTTTTTCTTAATCTCTTTCTTCACTCATGTCTAGACAGATGTCTGTGTCTATGTCACTTTCTAAATATACCAAGCACTCTGTAGCTCTTGTCTTTACTTTTGCTTGAAAAAAAAACACACCCGAATGCCTAGAAAACTAGGAAGGAAATGAAAAATAAACTGCTTTTATCTGTAAACTGAAATCAATAGGTTTCTCTTTAAACAGAAATCAAGAGAATGAACTACCATAGTATATCTGTTTTGAAACAGTGGCTTTCTTAAACACGGCAAACGTGGGTTAAATAAGAAGGGATACCCCACAGAAACAAAAGCAAAGGCTTGAGGAATGAATAATCTGAAACATCAGCAGGTATTCTACCTGTTCAGAGTGAAATGTGTTCTGGGGCTTCTCCCAGGTTGGGCAGTTCCTATTGCTGGGTCTGTGTGAAAACCAATCTGTCCTTTAGATAAATCAGTGAAATGGGCTGTCATCTGGCCTGGCTGTTAAGCTATATTGCCTCTCCAAACTGGACTGAAATGTCATTGATTCCAGTGTTGTTGATATTAGGGTAGCTTCTAAATTACTTGCTGCAGCCTTTCCCTAGAATACCATTTGGCAGACATTTATGAAAATACTAAAGCAGCCCAAAAAAACAACTCAGGTCCTAATGTAGCTTTACAAACAAATCTCAGGGATGAGTCAGCACCTTCTTATTTACAGGCTTCTATTTCTGGAGTTATTTGGGGTGAGAGGAAGGATAATAAAGTGGTCACAGCAGTAATCTAGGACTCAGCAGACCTGTGTTTAGATCCCTATCTTTTACAGAGCTGCTGAGTGATTGTGGGCCAATATGTATAAGCAGTGTGGTTGACTTCTTAGATACATATTAACGTTTTTTCTGTGTAAGATGTGAGTAATGAATTCCTCAGAAACAATTCAGTGATAGCAGATTTTTCTTTCTCAATAGAAAGGCTGTATGGATGAACATAAAGACCATGTGAGTTCTAGTTGATAGAATAGGAACCATACATCACATTTTTTCAGTTACTTTTCAGTTTCTGGCACTTAAGAGAAAATGGCCATTTATGATGCTGATTTATATCTTCAGTTCACATTTGGACAAGACATTTGGGATGGTACATATACATTAGAGGGAGCAACACAACCTTTTGCTAAGTTTGTCTGAAAAGATACTGCATTTTCTGGTTAGAGTGCCTTTTTTTTAAAAGGCACTCTAACCAGAATAAGTTTTCCTTATTATCATATCACTTGTGCTATTATATTGAGTGTTCTCTTTTCATTTCCACAAAGCTGCCGAGGATTTTGAGGGCCTATTTTGTGTTCTTACTCACAGCACACTTTATCTCAGTATTTGAATGGGAATAGCTTTGCTTTTGTATGTATAGCTGAGGCACGTTAAAATGAGATGCTTAAGTTCATCTGATTCTGATGTAGATATAATTAAAGTGTAGGCTTCTGGAGAGATTTGACCAATTGTTCATTTTGCCAACCAGGATGAAGTTCTCTTTATCCAACTATTCTTCCTAAGCCTGAGATAATGCAGATACTTATACAAATTCGGTCATTCTTATCAGTGTAAGAAAGATTTGCTTGGGCTAGTCTCTTCCTCCTGTCTTTTTTCTCTGATTTTTGTTTTGTTTTTGTCTGTTTCATTTTTAGGACTTTGAATCCTTTTTCTCTGCTAAAGAAGAAAATATTATTTATTCATTCCTGGGTCTTGCTCCTCCTCCAGGCACAAAGGTATGCACTGCTGTCCTTCCATTGGGGGTAATATATTTGATTTTAATAAGAGACAAAGATAAGCAGTGACTCAGCATGTCAGATGAAGGATAGTGACAAGCATTACATTAGATGCCAGTGTAACAAAATGTTCTTAAGGGAAAAATAATATGGCTGGTTCAGTATTAAAAAATATTTCTGTCTTCCCTTCTTTCAGAGCAGGCTTGTTACCATGCCTCCATCTGATAATTGTTTCTTTCTTGCTTGCTTTCTTGCTTTCTTGCTTTCTTGCTTTCTTTGCTTTCTTGCTTTCTTGCTTTTTGACACAAACCAGTCAGGTTTTATCATGTTCAGCTTTTTAAATGATGCAGAACTTCCCAAATAAATTTATAGGTTGTGTCAATCACAAGGAGCATTCATTTCACCCTGACTGCATCAAACCTTGAGCAAATGAAGTCTGTGCTGGCCTCCAGCAGGGAAGCTGGGATGCTGGACCCATTCCATTCTGAACGGGTACACACAGATTGGCACTGTGTGTCAGTCCCTCTCCTTTAAGATAAATTAAGGTCTTACTCTGACTTCACAAGCTCCCTTTGGAAAGTCTACTCACTTTTCTCTATCCACAGTATTTTGAAAATGTTATATTTATGACAAAGGAGATCCATTTTTTTTTCATCTTTCTTCCTTTTCCAGAAAGCAATGTGTTCTTTCTTTCTTTAGCAGTTTTTTATAGGTAAAAGGCTATATTAGAGCATATTACAGCTCTCTTATCTTATCTCACAACCATGTTTGATCAAATGTTGCTGCCTTTAGCATGGGTGATTCAACAAACAAATTGAATCAAAGGAGTGATGAGTCAGTGACAGCATAGAACTCTGCTGTATTGTCATGACCTGGATGAAGAGCTGCCCTGGAGCATGAGATCTGCTTTCTGATCTAACTAAGCTGCCAACTGTCTAGCAACTCTGAGTAAAACAGCATTGTAGATGCCTCTGTTGATCCTCCGCTGTAAAAGCAGAGAGAAAAGCAAGTTTTGCTAAGTGTTTTGAGAACTACAGATGAAGAGATATCCAGGGGAGAACCACAGCTGCTATAAATGTTGTCTATCAGACCCTGTGTGATAATAACAAGTGATTTAAACTTTCTGTTTTCTGTCCCATCTTCCACCAAGAGAAAAAAATGTTACTTGCCAACCTCACAAGGTTTTTTTGAGATTTCATTGAATTAATATTCAGAGAGGCATGAGAGGCTTAAAGGACTGCAGGTATTACTTACAATAATCATTATAAAAGATATGTAGTGGATCAACGAGATAAAGAAAATTGCATTTTTCCATCTCCCCAATTCTTATATTATCTTTTCCTTCATGCAAGGTTCTATTAGATACAGGATCTGTAAAGCCAAGTAGCATTTTTTTAGAATTCATTCATTCCCAGATGTCAGCTAAGTCTCTTACATTTTCTGATTCATGACAGCTTTAAATGTTGAAAATAACATGTTCAGTGCATTCTTCTGGGCAGATAACTATTAGTGCTATCGGTGTGAGAACAAGTGTGATTTATGCTGATTAATGGCTTCGTTGGTTGTGATGGGGATTGTTTCAGTCCAGAAAATGGAAATAAGATGAGAGTTGATTTAAAAAATCTTTGTAAAGGGTAGACATCTATTTACATCCCTTCGTGATCTGTTTCTGAATTGAGAAATACATATATGAGTGTTTTAGCATTTGTTTTAGAAGTATTTCTTAGCATCCTCACTGCATGACAGTTTGTCTACATTCTGTTATATAAATAACCTTGTGTACTGCTTCTGCTTTCCTTTCATTAGACTGTCAATTCAACCTTAGCATAAAGTACAATAGGTGATTTGTGACAATGGTTTTCAGCAGCATGAATCTGGGGTAACAAGACAGGTGTGGAAGAGCTGTTGATGACGACATGAGAAAGTTAGATAGTTTCCTATTAATCCCTTCACCTGTACTAAACCTCTCCCCTCCTCTTTCCCTCCCCTTCATCGGTTCCTGGAATACTGTAATAATTTGCAAAACAAGTAAACTGTGGGGTGGCGAAACATCATAAAACAGCCTAATCATTTGCTTTATGGGTGTTACTACCTCATGGAATCATTATAAAATTTAATATAAAGCTGATACATTTTATTTATTGACTATTCTTGCCTCAGAAGGTTCTCTTTTCCATTTTTTAACTCTTACTGCACCAGGAGTAGAAAAGCTCCTTAATGACTATGTGGTTGTTTCACGGTACAGCCCACTAGCATCCTGACCCAAGGCTGTTTTGAGCCTGTTTTCTAGGGCAAGCAGAGAGACCCATGCAACAAAATCAAATTTCCTAACAAGTTGAAGTTAAATTCATTGTCACATCATCCTGCTGAGTGCAACATCCGTTTCAAGTTTGCCAGTTCTCTTTCTTATAGCCTTGATGTGTCTCTGCATTATGTGGCTATAACTCGTTACCAGACACTTATCCAGTGTTTATATTGAGCTGTTACTGCTAGGTATTGGAGATCAGATGGTGGCAGAGCCTAATGTGGAAGCTTACAGGGTGAGTCTGATATATCCAAATAATAACAAAATTGTCTCCAAGGCCAGATTGACTGTAAGATAAATGCAAAAAAAAAACTTCTGAATGTACAGATATGTAAAGAAGACCCTTAGATCTGCAGCACATGTATAAGTTGGTCATCATGCACTTTTTAAGAATCCTCTCCAAAAAAACTTTGATTGTTTCAGTAGGAAATATCAAATCAACATCAAAGTTAACTAGGGAGTCCGGAAAACAGTTTGGGGGGCAGCTGCTTAAATAGGCACCTACTTCTGCCTGCAGCCAAAAATGTTCTGACCAATGCTGAAGTGTCTTGGTAAGGCACTGCTGTACAAATAACAAGTTTTGTTGTTTGTACAAATAACAAAACTATTAACCACTGTTTTCCCAGTTCCAATACAATGAAGAACTTTGATGCATGGATGGCATGTGAAAACTTCTGCACATCTTTGCAAAGGCTGCTTTAAATGCTGAGTATTTGCTTAGGACAATGTGGGAGTCAGGAAAAGATCACTTTTATTTTACTATACACTAAGTACATTATTATTATTATTATAAAGGATGTGATGTGGCCATAAAACTCAATGGTCCTATCAAAGATCAATACATATTTTTGGTACTTCCAAAAGAGTGACTTAGTTCAAACAATCCTCTTTCTCTGCCTCATCATCACACTGGTTATCATATTTTCTAACGCATCATTTAATGGTGATGAGTAATGCATTTGATGTCATAGAATCACAAAAATATAGATGATCCTGAGTTGGAAGGGACCCATAAGGATTATCAAGTCCAGTTCCTGGCTCCACACAGGACCACCCCAAACCAAACACTATGTTTGAGAACGTTGCCCAAACATTCCTTGAACTCCTTGAACTCTGGCAGTTTTGGAGCTGTGACCACTGTCCCAAGGAACCTGTTTCAGTGTCTGACCACCCTATGCTGTTGAGAAAAGCAGACAGGATGATTGTGTTAGTAATTTTTTTTTTAGTCTGTTGATGTGAAATACCTTCTCACTTGAAGGAATACACGGACTTGAATACTTCTATTCCAACTTCCTAACATCTTTCATGACAGGCTGGCATTTTTGCCTGACCAAAAGACCACTCTAATTACCAATAGGATTCTGAAAGATCTTAGTTAATCTTGAATTAGTGACATGAACAGAATAATGTACAGATAGATGTAAACTTGTAAGCAATGTACTTTGTATATCTAGAGTCATGCTTTGTCATTCTCAGCTGCCCCTAAACCTGAATACATTTCTTTTCAAAGCATCCCCACTTTTACGCTTAACCTGAGACTGCTCTTAATATGGTTGAAAATGCTCTGAAATATTGTTATTTTGTTAGAAGCCCATTAAGAGCTGTGGATACAGAGGTTGTTTTGTTTTGTTTTTCCTAAAGTGACACAAATGAATTGTTCTGTCAGTGAGCTGCCTATTACTTAAACTAAGACAATGAATAGTATCACAACAACTTTGAGCATTTTAGCAAGGTTGAAATGCAGGCAATTAAAATTAATTGCTTTATATTTTCAGGGACAAGCACTTTTTTTTTTTTTTTTTTTTTTGACAGCTTTATTAACCAAAGTGGAATACTGCTTCCATTTCTCTTAACTCCAGAGATCAGGTAGCTTGCAGCAAGATTATCTGTGTTTGCAGTTGCTCCATGAGAACTCTGTGTGTGTCCACGTGCATGCTAGCCGACTGATTCTGGAGTTCACATCTTTCAGACACCACTTTTACTTCTGAGAAAGTATATGATTCATCTGAGATAGTTATACACAGTAGATACATTTTAATTAGAAAGCCATCTTCATGCTTTACGCGTTTCATGTATCTGCCAAGAAATACTGTCTGCGGGGATTTTAAAATGAAATGTTAGGGTAGATGCTGAAAACACATTTCTCATCAATTTGTATCTCATGAATGCTACAAACCCTTCCATTTTGCTACAAAGAAAGTATCTGTACAGAAATTACTCGTTTGCTTAAAGAAACAATGTACAAACACAATGTTGCACAAGAGAGTACCAATATGTTTCTGTGTTGCTACACATTTTAATCAAAGTATTTTGTTTTCTTGTGAGAAAAAGTGAAAGATAAGTTAAGCCAAAAAAGTGTCTCTGTAGGTCTGTTTTTAATAACAATGCCATCAGCATCACCATACTACAAGCCCACAGTTTTATGTAGTCTTCCAATGAGACAGTGTTGCCAGAAAAAAGGAGCCTTTGGTCCTTCCTCCATCCTCCATGCTCTTTCTGCTTGCTCCCAGATGCTCATTGCTGTCCCCAGCCATCCTCCACACGATGGCAAAAGCATTTGTGTAGCTGTGTAAAGGAGTGAGCAAATAGTGTGAGAATCATTCAGGTGGTTGTAAAGGCTTGGTCACAGGAATGGAGAGGACCTCCTCTTTTCTTCAGGGGTGTACTGCTCTGCCCATAGTGTATAGGACTTCTGATGGCACAGGCATGACTTCTGAGCCCAATTCCCAGTTGCTGGAGGCAACCACTTCAGGTTAACACTTCTCAGAATTGGTCAAATACCCTTCAGTGAGTTAGGTCCACTGCCTCCACTATCTACTAGAAAACTCTTCCAAGATTTCACTCTGCTGGTTGTTAGAGTTTTTATTTACAGCTGGTTCATACTTATTTTGCATACACGTCAATGCTCTTCCTTATCCTATCCCTCTCTGATATGTACTCTGGTCTATTTTTAGAGCACCATCATGTCCCCTCACTGCATTACATTCAATAGATGAAAGTAGCGAAGCTTTTTTTGTCATAAGACAGGCTCTCTATTCCCTCAAACATTCTTCTAACTCCCTCTGCACCTGTTCCAGGCTGAATTTCTCTTTCTTGAGCATGGATGATTGGAATGGCACAGAGTGATCCAGAGGAGGTTTCTCCTTTGCTTCACACAATGATATTAATATTTGCCTTCAGCTTCACCTCATACATCTGAGGACTGTGCTTATTAGCACTTTCACTGTTGCATTATGTTCTTTGCTCAGTTATTATCTGGTTATTTAAATATATCCATCTTTTTCTTATTTGATGATCATCAGCTAACAAGCTCCCAAAGTACAGTGGAAACATCTGTTTCTAGAATCTGTCAGAACTACCTGTCCCAAATAATGTGACTTTGCCCTTTATGCTATTGCTGTTCTACCTATTTCCATTCAAAACCATAGTAGTTTCCTTTTATCTCACACAGGTTGTGATCCAGTGGGACTTTTCACATCTACCTAACCTGGGCAGGACTTCAAATGAAGAGCCTTCTATGAGCTGCTTGGTCACAGTGCTGGAATAAATAGATTAGATAGATTGCTTTGCAAATAGTTACCTGATGATTTTAAACAACACAATCAAGAGACTGTGTACAAAATCCTTCATTATATCTGTTTTTCTGTATCTTCCTAGTGAAGTTTAGTTGGCATGCATGCTGGGGAAAAAAAAAAACTTCTTATTCTGAAGCCAGAATGTGCCATCAGGGTGAGCATCTATTTCTGTTAAACTCTCAACAGAGAGTTAGGGAATCTGGCAAGAGGTACTTGAATTCATGTTTTCCCTATACAAACCTCATGAATTTACCAACAGAGCAATATTCTCCTTTCACAGAAAAATGTCCAAAGGGGTAAATTCTGATTTGAGTGCTAAAGAAAAAATAGAAAAACCTCTCATCAAATAAAAAAGTCAGGAGTATAGAAATGAGTTATTGGTTGTGTGTCCTGAAACTAACAATGACCTCTTTGCTTCCAGGAGACTGAAAAGTCTGATACTGCTGGTGAAACTGAGACACATACAGAACACGGTGCAGATGAAGGGGCCCATGAAGAGGCTCAGCCACCATCAGAAGATCAGCAGGTAATTTTTCCTTTTCCCCTTTGTGATTTGAGGGTTTTACCTGTGCTGAGTACATGAAAAAACACACCACGGCCCTCCTGCTATGCCTGAGAGTGGGGAAGACTGATTGCAGAATGGCCCTGCTTGTCTTTTGGATGCATTTTCTTCATCATGGTGATATGAAACCTAGATAATACTCCAGGGAACACAGCTCTACATGAATAAAATCAGTTGTCTTTATTTAATATTTTCCATTTGCCACTAGTTACCATGTGCTTTTTTTTTTTTTTTTTTTTTTCTTAATGCTCATTTGGAACCCGACTCTCATTATGGAGGATAATTTAGAGCTAGACATCTGAGTACTATCCATGTGGAAAAATTTGCTGCTATCGATGGCCAACATCTGCAGCGCTCATAAATCTGTTTGTTAATGTTTGTAGTCAGGTACCAGCACTGACTGCTGCCACAGCCAGTCATATCTGACAGCGTCTTCTCCAGGCCATGCAGGAACCCCTGGGCAGTGCAGAAATGCAGTGCATTGTTATCTTTTCTACCTGCCTCATGGCAAGATATCGAAGTCACATGGGCACATCTCAAACTGCATTGCAAAAGGTTCATGAAAGAAAACGTCTGTTTCCTTCAGTTCTCTAGTAAAATTGCTGCAAATCATGATACTCATGTTCTCCTGCAGATAGCTGATATCAGTAAAGTTGTGGTTGAAAGCACAGATGAATCCTGTGAAAAGCAGTGATTCTCCTGTGTACAAATTTCCTCCTCAGTGAAATGTTTATATTGTTCAGCAATGTCTAGAACCAATAGAGACTAAAAAGATCCGGTGTCTGGAGATAGAGATGCAGATGCTTTTGCTGCTACTCTGCCAGTATGGCATTTAAGAACAGGTTTGTTCTGGTGCTGTAGTATCAGGTAAGTCTCTTCTCAGAAAGTCCAGCATACTGCTGAGTTGTAACAAATGTGTCATTCCTTTCACTAAAAAAAATGAAACAAATGTTCTTTTGTTTCGTTTTGTGTGGTTTTGTTTTGTTTTGTGCTGTGCAGTGCTTATCCTGAAGAAACATCTCTGTTTGTACTTTCTCCATTCTCGTTTTTAACAGTGACAAAACCATTAGGCTGGAATGGTGCACCCTTTTGCACAACATCATCCAAGTCTCAGGCACTGGAAGTCCCATTTAAAATTTTGCCTGTGTGGCAATGAGGAGGGGAACAGACTCCAGAGGGAACTGAAATTTCTCCTTAAAGTGTATCCAACTGCTTTTCATGTCTCTATGAATTCAGCCAGCACATAAATGCCATCAATAGCCTTTTCTCTTTAGAGAAATGCCAGCTCTTAAGAGAAACCCAGCACAACGCTGCAGTGCATACCCTGGCTGGATTAGGTTACCTGCCATTCTGGCTGACTGTCTACTGTAATGTTTTTCAAATGAGAACAGAATGCTGGAACATGTCTGCAAATGTGTCAAGCAGCTGTGTATGAGAGGTTTTGTAATGACATAGTGCAATGCTGCTCCTATACAAAAGCACCTTGCTCCATTTCTCACAGAATAGATTGGAACTGTAAATGGAAAGTATGTTTGTCTTCTCATTTTACAGGGAGGGAAGTGGAATAGGATGTGAACACCAGGCAAGATGGTGCATTTGATTTCTTTTGGTTGTGAGGGCATAAAACATTATTAGTCTTCAAATCTTACTCTTTCACTGGCACAATCTTGGCTGTGTTGAAATGTTCTTATGTGGTATATCATAAGTGGGGAGAAAAGTCTTTCAGAAATCATCCAGCTCTGATACCCACCTTCATCATGTCAGATGTATGCCAGCTCCTAGGGGAAGAAAATAGCACTGTTCCTGTTTCTGTCCCACTCATTGTTACAGAGGGTACTCATGACTGCAGGCAGCAAGGTAGCTCCTGCCAGGGATGAACAAAACCCATTTTTCATCCTGGCCTCCCACTCACTCCCTATGTCACGTAGGACAGATCACATCAGTGACGTTGCATCTGTCTGCCTTTCTACACAGATCAGTGTAATTATCACTGCTGTATGGATGGCATGAATCATTCTTTTGAAACTCTGATATTTTCATTCACTACAGTGAGCATGCAGAGGACTAGTTTAGATGAGAAGGATAACTTTGAGACAATCATATTGCCTCAGAATTTTTTTTTTCATGTCTGTAGCTCATTGTTTTACCCTACAAAGTGGATAGCATTTCCTTACCCAGTCAGAGTTTTATGAATTTAAAGAAGTTTAATGTTTATGAGACTGCTATTGGAGTACCTCTGTTGTCTGTTAGGCCTTAAAGGTTTATATTTTGTTATATTGATATTTTCAGTATTTCAATCTCTTCCTCTCATTCTGCAGCCCAGCACACCTTGTTTAACTACTTGACCACAATGAATAGGTGTTTTCAGCATGCTCTTCCAGCCCAGTAGCAGGAATGGTAACCAGAAGCCTGAGTGGATACATATAGAGGCTGCATGTGTCCCATGCCTCTTCTGCTGCTCTTACTGGGGGATATAGGAGCCAGGAAAAACAAAATTCTTAGGTCAGCAGCTCCCTCCTAGAAGCAGCAGAGATAAGTGCACAGTGCAACAGATTGTTCTTCACTCACCTCATGTCAGACCTGCTTGCAGGTTTTCAGACTGCCTCAGTTCAGCAGCTCTGGCTCCTCATTCACACATGGTTCCAGGAGAGCCCAGAGCAGATTTTGGAATAGTAAGTTTCCTACACAGATCCTGCAGTAACAGGAGCAGCTCTCAGTCTGTGTTGCCAAAGGACAGTTATACTTGGATTCCTCTTGATTATAGTTTCTTTTTCACTTTAAACCTTTCCTTCCTTCCCTAATCACTTCTTTCACACATTCTTTCCTTCCCTGATCACTTTGTTAGACTTACCTTTCCTAATAATTAGGACCTACTCCTAATCTTTTCGTTCCTAATCCCCACAGTGATAGAGATGTTTGAGGAACCATTTTGCTTGGATATGGTCTCCCTTACCCTTGCTTGGTCTGTCCCTTTCTTTCTGAGTTTTTGGAAGAAAAAACCGTGACCTCCTATGCACTTATTTTTCTTTATTTTTAACTTTAGACCTTAGCTTGGGGGAGTAGAATCATTTTAAGTGGTGTCCCAGTTAAATCAGTTTGCAGTACAGATTAGGCGCACTTCAGGGCAGAATTATTTTAGCAACATGTTCAAAAATCATATTAAAATGCAAGTCTGTATCCTTCTCTGCAGTTCCCCAGGCCACATATAAACCCTGGCACTCCAGGTCACTTCCTTATCTCAACTCATTCTACGTAATGTCATAGCCACTCATGCCTTCTGTGTGCTACTGCTGAATTTGCTTTTTCTCTTTGATTTTTTGTGTAACATTTTGCTTCTCTCCAACAATTGGCTTGGTATCTGACATTAAATTCTATTCACTGTTTTTTCTCTTTTTATTTTCTCTCTTTTATCCCTCTTCTCTTCATCACTTTGGCTCAATCTACAGTCTAAAGCCAGTTTGTAGTATTTTATATTCCCTGGTAATGTTGAGCCAAGGCATCTGTTCCAGCCTACAACAGTTAGTAGAACTTCAAACCAAATTCTGAGTGATGATATATAACACATATAGAACTCTGTATAATTCTGATTTAACTTTGATTTTGAAGGCTAGCTAACTACCAGCCATCCCCCACCAAGGCAAAAGCAAACAAAGCCCAAGCTCTAATGATTTGCTTGCAAATGTAGCAGATTTGATTGGAAGTAACTGAGAAAAAGAAAGCTGTGTTTTATGCTTTTATATCTCCTTTTCACAGTAAATGCTTAGCTCAAATGTGCTTCATGAGCTAATCTGGAGGATATTATCCCAAAGTAAATCCACTGAATTCCACATAATTTCCTTGCGTTCAGTGCTTAATTTCTCCTGTGCTGTGCCTGTATCACCTCTGATATTCTTTTTTTGATCATTTTTTAAACCTTTTTTTTTTTTGTGTCTTTCATGTAGGAAAACAAGGAAGGAGATGCGGCGGCAGAGGTATAGTATACTCTTCAGACATTTTGCTTTCTTCTTTCATTTGTGTGCATTTAATTCCTTTTTTGGTCTCTCTATCTCTCAAAAGATTGCAAATTCTTATTCATGAAACTGAATAGAGCAGTATTAAATTCTGCTAGAGGAAATTGTTGATCACATCATAGTCATGTTTTTGGAGAGCATAAATAGGCAGTTAATTGTTAAAAGCTGTCAATGAAAGATACACTTTCCTGGATTCTTCAATAAAATTTGCCAAGGACTCACAAAAGAGATAGATCTTTGAAAATCTGTGACTGACACTATGCTGATTAAAGAGTCATGCTGATGATTTAGGCAGTTCTGCCTACAAAAGGTATATTTTCCTTGTTTCCTTCCAGATTTTGTAAGGCCCAGGTACAAATTCTTACATGCTTCTCTGCTTTACACAGCATTGCAAGTTTATGCTTTCAGTATTTCTTCACTGTTGTCAGTAAAATTAATTATTACTTTAGGCTATTTTCCACTGCAAACCTGCAATTAATCAGGGGGCACATTTAATCTTCCCACTTCCGAACTGCAATACAGGCATATATATATACATGGGTATGTACACATATGCCTGCTGCCAGGGTTGTTGGTATGAAAGCTAAAATGGAATTCCTAAGCACATGGGCAGAGTATCGGTGCTTCAGGTAAGTGAGGCTTGTGAGGGCTGTGAAGGCTGTGAAACTCAAGTTGTTGGAATGGGTCTAGAGAAAGGCCACAAAGATGATTGAGGGCTGGAGCACCTCTCCTATGAAGACAGGTGGAGGAAGCTGCGCTTGTTCAGCTTGGAGAAGAGAGGGCCCTGGGGAGACGTCATTGTGACCTTTGTTTATAAGGTGACTCATTGTTTATAAGTGAGCAGGAGGGAAATCAACTTTTTACACAGTCTGGTAGTGATAGGACAAAGGGAAATGGTTTTAAACTAAAGGAGAGAAGATTTAGATTAGATGTCAGGGAAATTTTTCACTGAGATGCTAGTGAGGTGCTGGCTGAGGTTGCCCAGAGAAGCTGTGGTGCCCTATTCCTGGAGGCATTCAAGACAGTGTTGGATGGGGCCCTTGGCAGCCTGAGCTGGTGAGTGGAACTGGATGAGCTTTGAGGTCCCTTCCAACTCAAGCCATTCTATGATTCTACCTGAACAATGTTGGTTGTCTGAGGACTTTCCTGGCTCAGTTTGATACCGAGAAGATCAACCTGACTTGCAAAGAGTTGTGTCTAGCAGGTATTCCTTTATTGCAGTGCTGGGCACATAGGGGATGGCTCTGCCCAATATATGCACCTTGGCTCATGTGTAGATTACATTTATTGGTTGTGCTCATGCATACACATATTTTGCTCCAGAATTTCATGCACATGTTAAATATTTTCTCAAACTCATTAATGTTTTCTTAGAAGTGATTAACATAAGACCCTCCCCCTTAGAGCATGCGCAGTCACCCTTGGGGGTCCTTTCAGTGGTGATCTGGGGGTTGAGGGAGGAAGGCTGATAGCCTTCATTGCTCCTAAACTTTTGTTCCCAGACTTCAGGAGCATGCTCAGTTAGGTGTTTGCCTCCTTTCTAAATGAGATTTCTCTAGTTTGTCTTGACAGGGCCCAGCTGTCTTCAGCTTGACTTCATTTTCCTTCCTTGTCTTTAATGTAGTACATATGGTTATTCCAGATACTGCTGCTTGCATTATTCGAGGTCCTCACTCTACCAAGTTTCAAAAAGAGTAATAACCAAGGACACTTCTTCTACAGAAAGAATCTGAAAGATAAAATATTTTGTTGGAAGGAGAACTTCACCTGACTTATCTTATATTCCCTTTTTTATAAGGATGATCCCTTAGTGCAATAGTTTCCTCTAAAAACAGCTATCCAGTAACAGAAATCTGACTGTAGAAGCTCCATTTCTCAGAAGAAAGCAGAAGCCCATGTTTAAATAGGTTGATTCAGTTACTTGGGTATGATTCCTATATGGACTGTGAGTCTGAGAGAAAAAGCAAAGTTACATCCTTATATGGAACTTTGCTTATATGGAACATCCATACCAGCAGTCCTGCCTGAAAACTAATTTTGAAATCTGTAATTTGCTTATAGCTCCTGGATGAAATTCTTTTAAGTTTTGTAGTTCAGATATTGTGTAAAAGTACAACATTTTTTAGATAAAACTTGTTTACATTGAGGGTGAGGTTGCTCTGAGCCTGAGTTTACTGGAAGAGAAGGAGTAGAGAAGCCTACAGTGTTATTTCTGGTTGTTTTTCAGAGCAGAGTTATACTTCTACGCTTCATTTACTAGCTCTTAAAAGACAATAAACACAGATTGTTATCTGTGTTACATAAACGCGACCTTTCAAATAGCAGTTTATTTAGTTGACTGGAGGAAAGAGCTATTGCCTGTAAATTGTGCATTTTCACCTTTATAAAAAGAAGAAGAAGAAGAAGAAGAAAGAAAAAGGAAATGAAAAAAGAGAAATAAAAAATTTAGAAACAGAAATAAAGCCTTTTTTTATCTGACTCCAAATGATTTTTTTTTAATTATTATTTGTGAGTTTTGTTCCTCTGCCATGAATATTCTTGTTTACTTGAAGAAAACTTCCAATTCAAAATATTAAATTTTGCCATGTTTAAATGTACTTTATATTCTCATTTTGATTCGGAATGGCTATTTACATCTTATCTATGGACTATGTTCTAACCTATCTCCGAAAAAAATTCTCATATTCCTAGCCTTGCCCATTAATGCCACAAAGCATAGAGCCATGGACTATTAGGAATAAAAACTCTGTACATCACTCTTCTGTTCTATTTTTCTAAAACTTACAAAAGTTACAGAACTTTGCAGTTACAAAAGCATTTCAAGACTCTTTATTTTTCCTTCACCTATTACATTCTAAACTACAAATATTTTCCATAAAAAGGAAGAAGAAAAACATGAAGAGGGAGAAGAAAAGGAAGAAGAAGGAAAGCAAGAAGAGGGAGAAGAAAAGGAAGAGGTGGAGGAGCAAGAAGAGTCTTAGTACACTTCCTTATGACACATTCTCTCTTGAACAGGTTTTCAGGTCAGTATTAAGATATCCAGCACCGTTTCTAAATGTTCTTAAATAAGCATTGACTTGACATTTTTGTTCATGTTGTTATATGCAATGCCTTCAAAACAAGAATGGAAAGAACTAATCAAACCCATACATGTGCTCTAGTTGCCCAACTGATGGGCCAAATGTACATTTAACTGTTAGACTCATTGCAGCTTCTCTTCTACCTTTCTGATCTCACTGAAAATTTTAAGGGCTTCATGTCTCAAATGTAGTTGAAATTGCTCAACATGTTCAGAACAAAGGGGAAGGATGGAGAGTCTGACCAGAAGTATAACACACTATAATCTATTACTCTGATTGCTTAGTAACTTGGACAAAAGTGATTTTTGAAGCTCAAAACAGTAATCATCCCAGAAGCAGAATAAGAGCATGCAGCATTGATCAAGTTTTGTCAGAATGTGTTTTTAAATTTAATTTTTAGTTTTCCTTCTTCCTCCTACTGTCTCATCTCCTGTGCACAGAAATAAAGATCGAGCAATCACTTAGTAGGATAAAACTATTTACCTACAGGAAGTTGGAATTTCCATCAGATTTTCCCTTGGATGATGGGATACCCTCCCAACAGCAGATGCAGAATATTGTATGTTCTTTCTAACACTGGTGGGATTCTCAGCTAATTCTACTTCTGAGATAATTGCCATAGGTTTCAGTATATGTACTGAAACCTGGTGCCTCAACAGGCAAAAAAAAACTGTCAGCTCTTCAACACTACCTCTCCTAAATCTGAGTTTCTCTACTTCATAGAATTTAATTCAGCTTGTGCTGTCCCGTGTTCAGACATGTGAAGTCACGGAAGGAGTTCTAAATTCTGCCCTATTTTTCCTTATTTTTGTTCAGGAAGCACAAGCTGGAGCAGCCCTGCCAAAGGAAAAGCCTCCCTCTTAAGCAAACCGTCACTACCTTTCATGCCTGTGTACATGTGAACATATAAATACAGAACAACAAAGATACCACTGTATCCTACTTGTAGCCTTTGTATATATATTTGGTATTACAATTGCTTGTTAAAATGAATCTTCTTATATCTGATTGCTGGTATTTCAGTTGATTGTTATGTGTTGGAATAGTATTGTCCACGTCATATCTTAGGTTGTAAGTTCCTCAGAGCAGGAACCATGTCTTTCTCCATGTTTATGTACTGTCAAACACACTGCTATCACTCAGCAGATAACTGCACTCACACAAGTGGTGTGGTATTCAGAGAAAAAGAAATTCAGAGCTGAAAACTACAAAAAGGCTTCCTGTATGCAACTTATGTGAGTCACTTCTCCCTCAGCTGGCTTTTGAAAGCGATTGAGATTTCCATTGTACATCAGTTTAAATAAATTCATTTTCTGTCACATCCATTCTTTGTCTGTAAAAGTATTAATTTAACCCTAGCTAGCAGCACTAGCATCTGTAAAAGTAAGTTTTCTTCATCATGATGGTTATAGCTTATGTAAAGGTTTTCACCTTGCCTCCTGCTAAATGTTTCTGGTACTGTGTATACATTTACCTGTGTCCCAAGGGATGTACAAGATACATAAGCATATTCCTTTCTCATGAAAGGCAGAATCAGATCAGATATGATCAGATACCAAAAAAAAAAAGAGAAACTGAGGTATTCTTCTTCCCCTCTTACCCAGTAGTACCGCAGTTAACACTGTTATGTAGGATAAGAACAATGATGTTGTTAATTGCATACCTACCTGCCTCTACCATTGGCAGCCTGCCTGCAGAAGACTCCAACCACAAGGTTAAGTGATTTTCTTTGAAAGAAAGAGATGTCCTGGCCCCTTCAACAGAGACTATGTCAATTTTCATGGATACATCTGTATTCCCTGGCACATGGAGGCAGAGAAAATTAATTCATGTTTGTGCTCTGTGAGATGTTCACTGAGAAGGATGAAGCTTAAATTTCATCCCCTTGTGCAATTACTTGCTAGGAGAGTTATAATAATTGCTTATAGAAGAGAGGAGATAAAAAAAATACTTACTGCCAATGTAGTCCATAGCTATACAACAAAAGGAGCTGTAACCCTGTGATTAACTCTGATCAAGGAGCTGGCTTTTTGAATGGAAATCTGTATTGTGAGTGGGTGCATGAGCAACAACTGAACGATAGGTCAACAGGCAACTTCAGGAAAAAGGAAGCTCATAAGAAGATATGACCACCTGAGATGCGTCCACTGATATCTCTAATCCAGTGAATTTTAGCTGCTGGGGATTATGAGCAGAAAAAGCTGCATATACTGGATGGATTCACACGCCGCCCCTAATTAGCAATGCCTATTTCCACTTCCAAAGGCTAATTACTGGGTCAGGTGAGCTATTGACCTGATTCAGTTCTTATGTGCCTGTAGGTGAAAACTCTTCCCTGGGAAAATGCTCCCCATCTCACTGGCAGCCAAATTGAGGTGCCAGGAATTGCTGAAGTAGTGTTGAGTGAAAGGACACCATACTTTGGGGAATGTGATAAATGCAGTGCAGTGAGAGTGTGATGACCATCTGTTGTTGCCTCAGTGCATCTCCAGGTTGCCTGAGCTTCATGCAGTTGATGGCCCATGCGCTCCAGTTTTCCTCTGCCCAAGCATCCTCAGTGCACCAGGCGGGCCCCAAGGCTTCAGACTTGAAACAAACCCACCAAATCTCACATATTCAGGAATTACTTGTTAAGGCAGAAATATGGCAACCATCTCCTTGAGAGAGAATAATCTGACAAGCTGGTCAGGGAATGTGAGGAATGCTAAGCCTCACATGCAGGAGTGACGCACTGACCTGCCCTCAGCTGGTGGCACAGGACTCTCAGTGCCTGGTGACAAAGCCAACAGGACAGTGTACAGCTGCACTCACTGAACGGACGTTTGGTGCTTTCTTTGGGATAATACTTTTTCATGTTTACTGATCACCTTTTCTTCCAGACTAAAGGAGGCTGTGAGTATGCAAAGGATGAACTAGCTGAAAGCCAGCTGCTGCTCCATAGGAATGCCCTGTGTTTTCAGCCATAACACTAATTCTGCTTGCAAAAGCTTAACACTTTCTGCAGTAATTCATTGCTACTAGGAAAATAAATAAGCTTTTCTAACTCCAGCAGGATGAAAAGCAGTAGCACAAATACATGAGCTAATTAATTAGATGCATTTGAAAGCATACTGTCTGCATTATTATATCGTTGATTTTTCACTGAGAGAAAACAGCCAGAGTTGGCTAACTGAGACTGCAGGTGCACTGCGTTTCACTGTGGATGAAAAATCAATTCTAGTTCACCACAGTTAAACAAAAAGGAGCAAGCTGCTTTTGGTGGCACTTTGGATGTAAATTATTTTCCTTGATGATTCATGTTAGAAACTCCTAGTATGCCAAAACAAGCTAAAATTAGGAAGGCTTTAAGTTATGTTTCCTACAGGTCCATATATGTCATAGGGTGGTGGCTGGTTGCACTTAAAAAAAGAAAAGATGGTGAAATTTAACAGGCTGCTGAAATGTAAAAGAAGGACAAGTAACATCACAAAATACCTAAGTAGATAGGGTGAGTCAATGGCAGTTTTCCAGGAAAATAAGTATTAGGGGCTACAACCTGTTGCTAGAAATGAAGAGGGCTAGTTATCAAGTCCAACAGGAAAAGTGGGCCATTTTTTCTCTTACATGAGAGCACTTCTAAGCCACCAAGTTTGTGAGCGGTTCTATGAGAATGCTGTAAACAAAATTCATTGGAGAGAAATGAAATTATTCAGTAGTCTTGCCAGTATGGCACTAGCCCTTGGCATTTGTTTTTGGTGATCTTTCTAGCCACTGTTCACCTGCCTTCCAGCTAATAAGACTTGCTAATTATTTCTTGTGTACTGCGAGATTATCAGTGCAAAAGAAGATAAGCCTACTTATCTGCATCCTTTGACAACCTCAGGAGGCTGGAGATAAACTTGACAAACAATCTGGGAAGATGAAAATTCAACATATTAATTTCTTCAGAAGACAGATTGAAAATATACAGTTTGATGTCAAACATCTTGAAGAATGTGGGCTTTTCCTGCAGCTGCAAAGTCATTGTCATGCACACAGAAACAGCAATGCTCAGCTGAGAATCTCAGCCTTAGTGAGCTACTGTCTCCATTTTGCTCATGAGGAAATAAGGTGCAGAGGCTGCATGAAGTGTTTAATGCCTACAGGTCGAGGATAATTGATTCTGAATTAGGTGTGGATTACGTGGGATGTATTCCACTGCTTCAGAATACAGCATCCATGATTTTGCATGCAGTTTAGACATCTGTCATTAGAAACTGGAGAGAGCCTTGGGGTCGATGACTCAGGGGACCATAGGTCCTCTGCACCTGCTCTATAGTCACCACAAATTCACTGAGGAAAGGTATCATCCTCTAATAAGGACGATTTGCAAAGAATACAGTTGTTGTGTAAACAGGTGTACAAGAAGTTGAGTTTTGATATCAGCCTGTCCAAACTCATTTTTGACCACAGCCTATTCAGTTAACCTCCTTGTGCTTTGCTTTCTCCATGAAAGACAAGAAAAAGAAAAAATAATCTTATTATAGATAATTTACAAGAATAAAATGAAAGCATCAATACACTGATCAGAAAATGGAAGTATAACTGCATCTTATATAATGGAGCAATGACATCAGTGGACAAAGCAAAGGAAACTGACATCATCTACCTGGACTTGTGGCATGGCCTTTGACATGGTCCTGCACCACATCCTTATTTCTCAATTGGAGAGATATAGACTTGAAGGCTGGATTGTTTGGTGGATAAGGAATTGGTTGGATGGTCACAGCCAGAGGGCTGAGGTCAGTGGTTCTATATAGGTCCAGGTTGAGGCTGATAACAAGCGGTGTCCCCCAGGGGTTCATCTTGGGACCAGTACTCTCAAACATCTTTATCAATGACATATGTAATTGGATCAAGTTTGCTGCTGACACCAAGCTGAGTGGTGCAGGTGATACAGCAGAAGGAAGGCATGACATCCAGAGGGACCTTGATAAACTCAAAAGGTGGACCCATGTGAACCTGTTGAGGTTCAACAAAGCCAAGTGTGAGGAGTTGTACTCAGACTGGGGCAATCCCAAGTATATGTACAAGGAGAAGAACTCCTTGAGAGCAGCTCTGCAGAGAAGGACTTGGGGATCCTAGTGGACAGAAAGCTGGACATGAGTCAGCAGTGTGTGCTTACAGCTCAGAAGGCCAACAGTATCCTGGGCTGCACTGCAAGAGGGATGGCCAGCAGGGAGAGGGAAATGGCCCAGGCTGAGCCCGTAAGGTCTGTTCTCCTTGGACCAGGAGGACTTCATCAGGACAAATGCCTTTTTCCTGTTAAACCCAATTCTCAGCTTAGTAGGGAAGCATTTTATTTCTTTTTTACCTTGAAGCTTTACAATGTTTCAGCAGTAACCCCCCAGCACCTGCAAGCCATTGGTAGGGTAGGGCAGAGCAGCACTGGTGCCATGAGGATGCCTGCTGTTTCTGGCCCTAGCCTTCAGAGCTACCACCCTGTTAAAGTTAGCAGCCCCAAGGCACACACCAAGCACATGAGTGGCCTTCTTAATTGTTGCTGGGTCTGTATTTCCTTTCCCCACTGCTACAGGGATTTTTGCTTTTTGTTGTATTTTAGCAAGTGAGTTACCTACACAATAAGCTCCAAACAAAGCAGACTTGTCCCTTCCAGCATCCCACTCTAGAGCTAGCTGAGAAGCAGCTGCTGGTCATTCTACATCAGTGATGCCAGCAGTCAGAAATGGAGCACAGGGTGTTAGAGGATTCTTTTTTTTTTTTTTGTGCTCCAGTACTTTTCCACAAGAGTTGCAAGATTGCTGGATTTTAATGATGCAGTACGCTGCATTAATGTTGAGTACAGCCAACTTAAGTGGGTCTGGTACTGGCGTCCATGTGCTCCTAATTGGATTATGATGAAAGCTAGAGGCAGTGATGAAAAATGATGCCAGCCTCTGGCCAGCCTGGAGCTGGTTTCAGTGAAGCACCAGTGTGTTGCAGATCCCTGCATCAGCTGCAGGAAATGGCTCCAACAGGACTGGAGAACCCAGGCAGCCAAAATCTGCTGCCCAGGAGCAGAGAGGATGGACAGGATGAGGCTGAGGTGACAGCACTCGGCACGGATCAGTTTTGGGAACTGTGCTTAACTGATGCCTGGCACAGGCTGATGAAGCTCAGCATGGGCGAGGAGCTGGGAGTGCTGCCTTGCAGAAACAGGACGGGCCAGGAAATGGCTCTGGAAAGATGCAAGTGAGCAGAAATTTGACAGTGTAAAGAACCAACATCACATGCTTTGAGGACAAACAGGAGTTTCTACTCGAATCTGAGTGCCTGTCTTGGGACACTTGTA